CTTTCTAAGTTTCTCTAGTCGCTCTGCATTGGAAGGCTCCTTTTCATTCCCTCCAATCTTTTGCTGCTGTGTCTTCTTCTGGATCTCTTGGAGTCTCTGTGCCACAGCCTGCCTCCTTTGTTGGAGTTCAGTCTCTGGTGCTGTTGCTTGCATAGCCTTCTGCCCCTCATCTTTCTCATGCAACCCTTTGACAATCTGTGGGATTGTGGCAACAAAGGCAGTGCCATAGTCTTTCAGCTTGCCTAAGGTAAAGCACCAAAACCTCCCACAAAATTTGGACAGTGCCCCAAGTAAAGTTGTTGGCCAAACAAGCCCTGTGTGCAAGTCAAGTTGCAGCCCAAGACCTTTTCCAATTGGTTCTTTTGCCAGTGGCCATCCTCCAAACCTTGGGGCAGCAAGGACATGCCTGCCATGTGGTTTTGGTGGAAGCCAACTGAGAGGCAGTAGGTGTGTTTAGTTGAGTGCAAGTAGCCACTGCATTGCTTGACATATTCCTGGACCCAAGAGCATGACTGGTGGCAGCTGGCATACCTGGCCTTAGAAGACAAACACACATGCTAGCTCTTCACCTGACCTGGTTCATTAAAACATGACATGGCAATTTGCTGCAAGCTGACTTTTCAAACCAATTTGTGCAACCCAACTCAGACTCAAAAGAATGGTTCATCCAAGATGCAAGCACATTGTACCAGTCCTGCATGCCTGTGCCAGAACTGAAAATCAACTCCAGCTTCCAGCACTTCCTAAGTTGAGCAAAGGTAGCCAGGTCCCACTCCATCAAAAACACAAACAAGGACTGCAGTGACAAATGTGCTGACCACACCCTACTAATGTTTGTCAAATCCCCAATGAGATGAGCTACTCTTCAGACTGCTGTGTCTTGGGAAGAAGTATGTTGTAGTAGCCAAGTCTGTACACCACAGCAGCACCACAATTGGGGGGTGCCAAGATCTTTTCCACCTTGTCCCTGTTTGCAACCACCAGACTGCCATCACTCCTGGTGCAGCCAGCCACTGGACATGGTGATGGCATTGATGTTGTATGTGCCATTGGGTGTGATTGGGCTGGGTGAGGGCTTACATTTGAAAAGCTCCTCTTCCAGTGAGTGAATGGTGGGTCTGACAAGTTGGGCTTTTCCCTGGGTGTCTTCCTGTCATTCCTGACTGGCAGCATTGAACAACATTCAAAGCCACTTGGGTGTGGCACTGCTACCAATGCCACTTGTGGAAAACATGCAGTGAAAGCTGATACTATCACATTGCCAAATTTGGTAACAGTAAAAAGATGCACAAGAATTGTCAAAACTAAGCATGGGTCTTCTTGCTGAAAATCTTATCCCAGCCCAGGCTGCATGCCACTTCATACAGGTTTTCAAAGTCATCCTTGGCCAGGACATCCAGCAAGACTCATCTAATAATAATTACTTGTGCATTGAAACATTCAGCTGCCACCCAAAGATTGGAACAAAATCATATATTAATATAGTCCTGCCAGTACTCAGTATCTAATCTAAATGTCAAGGCTCTGAGACAACAGCCAGCCTTGATCCCTCACTCTTCTTCTCCAACAGGAGTGCCTGGTCCTTGCACACCTGTTTCCTGAGTGAAGGGTGCTGCCCTATCAAAGCTCAAAAGAATTGTGGGGATCCAATGGTGGAGGTGGTGGCAAGGCATGCAGTGCCAACCTAGTCATTGTCAATTTACAGTTCCAAAACCATTCAAACCAAGTCTCAGCCCTCCCCTGGTGCCACCAATCCTCATGTCCTTGATGCTGACCATGGGTCCAAGGCCTGTTGCCACATACATCAGCAGGTCCAACTGCCAATCCTTGAGCTGGCACAAGTTGCCTTAGCTGGAACATGGTGGCTGGTTGGTGGCAATCAACAAGCAAATAAATAAATAAGTATTCAAAGGCCAGCAAAGCACTATGACAAGGTGAACATCAGCATGGTAATCAATTCAATAATAGAATGCAAGGAGCATGCTGACATCTTTGGGTCACCCAAGCTAGACAAAATTCTCACCCTTTCAGATCGACTTACTGAGTTCTTCTTGTCAGGCTTGCCATCTTTTCCATTGGAGGCTGTCCAATCATAGCCCAACCTGATCCAGCACCTAAGTTGGGAAGTCATGTGAAGCTGCAGCAAAGTAAGAAAGGGTGAACCAAAAACAGTTGGATTGGAACCCTTGTGGGTACACTAGAACAATGGCATGGCTTGCAATGATAATGGGTATGTTTCTATTGATGGTTCATGCAAGCCACTTCTTGATGGGCATTTTGTCCAATTGCTCATCTGAAACATTCTGGAGACTGCTGCTGGATGATGAACTGCTAGAACTACTGGAAGACCTGCGACCTTTGCCCTTCTTCTTTTTCTTCACAGACTTCTTGTGCTTTGCTGCTTTGCTCTTCCCTGCCTTCTTCTCCTTTTTCTTGTGCTTCTTAGACTTGTGGTCGGTTTTCCTGCAGGACAACTAACTAAAGGAGTTTCAAGATTTTACATGACCTTGCCACCTAGCTACCAGCAAATCATATGTTCCCAAGCCTCCTCTTGGAAGGTTGTGAATCCTCATCATCTTCATTACTAGACTCTCCATCATCTTCTTCAGCAGGTTCTGCACCTAAAAGGCTGCATGTTTAAGAGGCTTTGGCTAAGGCAGTAGTTACTCTTTCTCACTGATGCAAAACAAAGGCCTCTTTACCTGAATCCACCTTCCCTTTGGTTTTGTAGTGCCACCCTTCTCACTTACAATCTGTGCCTTTCAGTCTTAGGCAAGGTGCTCTTGACAGACTCAGCAGCAGCAGAAGCTACAGTAGAGGTTGCATCTCTGCCATAGGTGATGCTCAAGGGGTGATGCTTGCCAAGGTCTGCTAGAGACATGGGCTGCTGCATCCCAAACATTGGCAACCCCATGCCACCCAACATCCCAAACTGGGCAGGGTTGACATGAACAAACTCCCTGGGCAGAGAGCACCTTCCAGGCACTGATTTGCGCTTACTTGAAGGCATGGCCTATTGCCTGCCTTTGATCCAAAATGGTGCTAGTCATTCAATTCCATGAAGAAGAGAAGCAGAACCCCAGCAAACTCCCATAGATTCATAAAAGAACCCATCAAAATCCCACAGGATTCCCATGGGGTTTATTTAGCTTTTTTGGGATTTATTAGGGTTAAGTTGGGATTCTTCTGGGTGTGATATGTTGGCCAAAAAGACCTCTAACAAGACAGCCCCCAATGCCATGCTAAGAGTATATCGGAGTTTTTTGTGTGGTAAACACAAGGATAAACCATCCCCAAGTATAGCATAAGTGGTATAAGCCTTCAAAGAAATTGAAGGATGTAGTATTTCTTATACCCCAGTGCCTAAATGACGTAGATTTCCCAAGCGAAAAACTCATTGATTTTGCAGTGTCCCAAAATTGTGACAATGAGCTGTTAGGACTCCATATTGGAACATGTTTTTACCAAACATGATGGTATCGAATTAAATAGAAATGTTTGATTATTGGTATATGTATGATTCAAACAAGAGCAAGAAACATGGTATATAACTTTATACTTATATTATATATATATATGTTTATGACGTCGAGAGACCTTCATTCATTGGAAACTGGAAAATAATTAATACTATGAAAAAAACTAACCAAAAAAAACAAAATAACAACCCCAATAAAAACAAACCAAAAAAACAAAAACAAAAAACAATAAAAAAACAATAAACAAAACAAAAAACAAACAAAAAACAATAAACAGCGCACGGTTTGAAACTCAGAGAGACTTCGTGCTTCTCCCTAATCGCCGCAGCTTGTTGATACCACTTGCTCTCAAAGTCCACAGTCTGCTGCGTTACCTGCTGCCAAGCTGCGACCAAAACTCCCAAAATCCAACAAGGGCTGCCTAGTTAAAGCTTCAAACAGTGCGCCTATTACCCGTGATGGGGGAAAGCAATCAGTCTAGGGGGTGCCCCGGCGGCTCGTGGTACCCCCTTTTTTTGTGGTAATTACCATTTTTTTTTGGATTGTTTTTTTTGTTGTTGTTTTTTTCCCCCCCAAAAAAAGGGGTACCACGAGCCGCCGGGCACCCCCTAGACTCATTGCTTGCCCCCATCAAGTTTACTGTTTGAAGCTTTAACTAGGCAGCCCTTGTTGGATTTTGGGAGTTTTGGTCGCAGCTTGGCAGCAGGTAACGCAGCAGACTGTGGACTTTGAGAGCAAGTGGTATCAACAAGCTGCGGCGATTAGGGAGAAGCACAAAGTCTCTCTGAGTTTCAAACCGTGCGCTGTTTATTGTTTTTTGTTTGTTTTTTGTTTTGTCATTTTTTTTATTGTTCCTGTTTTGTTTTTGTTTTTTTGGGGTTGTTTTTTTGGTTTGTTTTTTTTGATTGTTTTTTGTTTTGTTTTAATTATTTGCTGGTTTCCAGTAAAATGAAGCATTTTGCGTCATAAAAATATGTTTTGACCAACACTGGCGTTTGACCCATACTTTGTAGACTGGCCCCATGTTTTTTCAAGTGAACATCGCTATGAGTCAAAACTGTTCTACCCCGTAGTTCACATCAAAACAGCCGGTGTCCATGAATGTCCATCATCTCCATATATTCACATGCATATCAAAAAATACATGATCATACATGATCATATACTATATGGTTATACAAGCTGTTGTCAAAACTCAAATTCTTCGCTAAGCTCCCAAGAAAGGGTATTCCTTTTGGGGGGTCCTATCGCTACGCATTGTTGTGTATTTTTATGAAGATAGAGGAACAAATCTGGGCAAGGAAACGAAGAGGAAAGGAAGAGGAAAGGAAAAGGAAAAGAAGAGCAAAGGAAGACGAAAGGAAAAGGAAAGGAAGAGAGGAAACGCAAAAGAGGAAAATGAAGAACAGACTAACAGACGAAGAGGGAAGGAAAGGAAGAGGAAAGAAAGAATATTTTTCAAAGGAAGAGGATTTTCGGATTCGGAAGTAAAGGGTCATCTCTGGTCTGTGGCGACTTAACAAATGGATATCCAAGGCCGCCCAAGGCCGCAGGCCGATGCTCCTCCTTCACGGTGATCGCTCCTTCATCCTGTACGGCTACTGCCTGGCACGGAACTGGCCAGATTTGAGCAGCAAAAAGGTGGAGGTTTACCATAAAAAAAAAACTGTATTTTCCTACCATAAAAAATGGATGATAACATATGATAACCGAATGACCTAGGCTTTGAAATCCTTCAAACCAACCAGGGTTGTCCGTATTTGTTGGGGGTAAATCACTTTCAGGGAGTTTGTATATCCTATGGTAATCCAACATAGCTGGAAAACATATCGAAAGTGTAGATCATCTACAAAGGGGCCATTCTCGGCGACGAGGGGTGGTATCTGAGCCTCTGAGCAGCAACAAATTGGGAGTTTAAGCATCAACAACTGGTATATAACCCACATTTTTTACCATTTTTTTGGGATCAAAAAACGGTTATGAGGTCAAGACCCTGGTACCCTGTCGTAAAAACACCCAAATGGCTCGGAAATCAATGTAAAAAACGCGCCAAACATATAGGTTTTGCCACATTAAGACCCATCTGCATTGAATTCATGCAAAGATTGTGAGTTTGCCCCATGAAACGTAGGATTTCACGAGCAAACATGGCCAAATTGGTGATTTAATGGGGACTCACTGTAACTTGATGGTCCTTGATGGTACAAATCAAATTTCCGACGGTAGTTTTCTGCGATCTTCCCCCAACAGGGTTGCTGTTTGCAGGCAAAATTGTTGTTCTTGAATGTTCTTGATGGAGAGATCCTGCTTAATTAATTAAATCCACTTTTGCTAGTGATTGTCAAATCCTTCATGTTAGGGCATCCACGTTTATCGTATTGGTAATGTCGGCAGCTTTCCAAATTTGATGAAAACATCCGCATTTTTCTCATGGTAAATTGCCCCCTTTGGCTCTTGTTACTTGTTTCTTCCATTTCTGATGAGGCAAATCCAATAAAAACAATCCCATGACTCGAAATTGCTAGTATAAACCAGCTTAATGATAAATCATTCATCGGATTAATTGGGTTGTCTGATGATTCTCCCAAACTTGAGGGTTTGTCCTTGGGTCCATTAAGAAAAAGAAACCTGCAATGTCTCTGTCAGTATTCGCATGCAGAGACATTCATCCCAATGCCACCATCATTGATGATGAAAACTCCACCATGGATGTGTACCTTTGAATGGCACATCAAATGCCCAATGGAACAGCACGGGATACAGTTTGATACATGGTTTTAATTCTATATTATATAAACATAATGATCTGCCCATATATTCATCCATCATATTCCATATACGCTCTGGTCATTTAACATTTCGCCATGGAAAGATCCACCATTTTATAGCTAGGTAAACCATCTATTTCTATGGGCCATCTATACCATGGCTGTGTAACAAATAACCAGAGGGTATATTCAGAATTTATATCACCACTGGTTGGTGCTTTGGAACATTTTCCTAAAAAAACTCTTACATAACTGGGGATATTCCACAAATACCCTTCAAGGTGGTGCCCCATAGTTAGCTAAGTTGTTTTATAACTCCCATAACTGTGGTTTATGGCAGATATAACGAACTAGTTAATGGGGTTTATAAACCAACTTATAACTGGGGATATTCCACAACCCTTGGGATACACATATTCCTTGAGTTTATCAGATTGATGGTCGGCAAACAACGGGATACGCTGGGCACCTCCATGAGGCCCTTCTCACCTAAGCCTTGACTCTTCACCTCTGCGGCTCGCCGGTGAGACTCGATTCGCCATGAAGGGAAGGATCTTCCGGTATCAGAAATGTCAACTTCTATATGGATGGATAATCTGAATGGTTAAGATTGGTTGATGATATGTATTCCAGTTGTATCAAATATTCATCATCATGAATATATGATTATCTATGGATGGATCAAAAATCATGCAGTTATTAGCCTCAAAAACGATTCCGATGCAGCCCTCTGGATGATAGCTCATCTCAGACGCTGATTGAGGGGTGCTTGGCATGGGGACGGATGCCTGATCAGCTGGATTTGTCATGGAGATATATGGGGATTCAACCAAGCTCTGTCATTTGGGTGATCCATATTCTATATTATTCTATTAGATGTTTCACAACTTGCTGGTTAATGAGTGGAGGTTCGTAAGTCATCCCCATGAAGTTTGCCGTTGGGATACGGCCAAAGTCACGTCTGAAGAGGAAATCTAGGTTGTCTCTGGTAAGTATTCTGAGAGAATGAAATCTGGGTGAAAGAAGCCTTTCGAAGTAGCACAGAATGCAAGTAATAGTATGGTATACAGTATACATTCATATAAATGGGCAACTGGATAGATATAGACATCATATGACCCATTTCCCCTCAAAAGTGGCTATCATTTGCCAAAAAAAATGGGTTGGGGCAACCCTAAATTACTATCTTGGCTGATAAAACCACTATGTTTGCCTGTTAACATTCCCCGATGTTTGTTGTTGACATTCTCCATTGTGCTTGTTAAACTACCCTCTGGTAAACTAACATGGCTATTGAAAATGGCCATTTATAGTGAGTTTTCCCATTAAAAATGGTGATTTTCCATAGCTATGTTAGTTTACCAGAGGGTATCCACTTTGGTTTTTAGTCCCGACGTTTCGCCTTCTTCTTCTTGGTTCCTTTCTCGGCCTTCTCGCCATCAGCGGTTGCCTCAAGCAGGTTGGCTGATCCCTGGTTCAAGGCCCAACTAATTGAAATTGGCATAATTACCATCTGGTTATGACTAACATAGCCATGGAAAATCACCATTTTTGATAGGTAAACCCAGGTTAACCATCTATAAATGGGCCATTTTCATCCATTTTCCATAGCTATGTTAAATAACCAGAGGGTATCGATTTTTCTTATCAACGGTATGTGTTGAGGCTGGAAAATAAAGAACGAAATTTGAAACACATGGAAACCGATATGTGATTTCTGCAGAAGTTATGGACCACCAAAATTGACCAGTTCAACGCAGCTATGTCAGCTTTGCTGGATAAAATCCTTCATGGCGCAGGCAAGAGGTTACCTTAACATCAAATACCTCCTACAACCCCTGATGTTTTTTGAAAATGCTGGATCTATTCATAACTTGGTGTCCCAACTATGAAGGTATGAAAGAAAAGAAAACCTTGGCTTCTCCACATTGAATGCTGGTGAAACCATACGAAGTCCCCGCCCTTGATGATTCAACCCCCGCTATGAAAAGATCATCGGGTGCAGTGGGATTACCCTCTGGTAATTTAACATAGCTATTGAAAATGACCATATATAGTGGATTCTCCCATTAAAAATGGTGATTTTCAATAGTTATGTTAAATTACCAGAGGGTAATCCATGCTCCAAAGATCATTCGACCGACGCGCCTTTTTCTTCTTTTTGACCTTGGGAAGCCGAAGCAGGAGCGACTCCAGTGACGAATCCAACTTTCAGTATGGATATGTATATACTACTATATATATGTATATATTAGTAAGATATCGTAATAAAATATATATATATATTATATAATTATATATATGTATATTATATAATTATATATATATACATTGATATATGTATATACTACTATATAATCTAATACATACGTATATTCTTCGAAAAGCCTATTTCCAATATTTCTTGCAATCCCATTCTGATCCCAATAAATCACAATGGTGGTTTCCCCTACTTATAAGTTGGTTGTAAACCCAATCCAATGATGGTGATAATCACAATAAACCCTTAGTTACAGCACAGTAACCCCAAAAAAATAGAAAAGCTTCAGTTAACCACTATTTTTGCGGGGTTTTACCAAAACCTATCTTAATCAAATGGGAAATATAATGGGGTTTGCTATAGTTCTAAAACCAACAGCACTCAAATATGTTCTTAAATCGTTGGCTTTTATAGGAAACACATGGAAAATCTATCTTGACTTAGGGGTTGCTATAGAGGTCTGTCTGAAAATAGTGCACCCCTAAATTCATTGGTTTACCATCATTTTCCCTACGTCAATGGCCATCTTATGGCTGTCCACATTTTCAGACGCACCCTTAAACACCATGATTAAGTATGCTTAAGTCATGCAATCATTATTTTGGTGGTTCAACCATGTTCAACCACCATTTATCACCATTTCTCACGGTTCAACTACCGTTTCTCAACCTGCGAAGCTGCGTTCTTCCGACAGCACGGGTGAAGGTCACTGGGAATCTGACAGCATCAGGACTCGCCTCGCCCTCCTCCTGGCGAGAACAAACCCCACCTGAAACCAGCTCTGGAATTCTGGGATTTCCTACAAGGTGGTGCCCCATAGTTAGCTAAGTTGGTTTATAACTCCCATAACTATGGTTTATGGCAGATATAACTATAGTTCATGGGGTTTATAAACCAACTTATAACTGGGGGGCACCATCCTGTAGGAACTCATATTCCCATAGGAAATAAAATGATACCATGGAACCATTAGGAAATATTTCGACTCTGGAATAATGAAACCATTAGGAACCCATGAAAATTCATCATTCCAGGCCATGTGGACTATGGATTTATGGGAGATTTCTTGGGGAATTGGATGACAGTGGAATGAGATTGCGATTAGAATGGGATTGTCATTGGATTTCATGGGTGACAATTCCGGTTGCCACGCGCCATGGCGCAGCTCGAATTCGCCGTTTGACATCAGCCAACGGTTCACGAAACTGCCAAAAATTCAATCTATCCACAGCCCTGAAGCCCTGGAACTGAATGTTCTGACACCCCAGACATATGTATGCTTGCTGTAGTTGGTTTTACGCGATGCTCAAAGAACCAGGAAAAAAATAATTATGGTACCGAAGTTTTGGGGATCTATGCATTGAGTTTGCTGCAGATTGCTGATGTGAAACGTGGAACTGAACACCAGTGAAATCTGTCATGCTCCAGTTGAGACCATCATCAAAAACATCCGCCGCACCTTGACTTTCTTCTTCTTTTTCTTCACCTGACGTCAGCACAGCATGTTTATATATATATATATACAGTAATGTGTTTTAGTTCACTTTCTGGACATAACCATATAGCAACACCCAAAAAAAGATGCCGAAAAGTGTTCCAAAAGGATGTTCGTTCGATGATATTTTTTGAGAAAAAAAAAAGGTCCAGGTGTCCCACTCTTCGGCATCTTTTTCGGGATTTTTCTGCGCTGCATCTCTGATGAAATCTTGTTTGGTGATTCTAAGGGCAATTCCTGTGAACATGGCATATATATATAGAAATAAACAATATATAAGTTATATATAAGGGTACATTATATATAACTGGACAATATATATATATAGTGGATGTACGTGTGTATATACGTCTATATATGGATGTGTTGTTGGGATGTATTTCTGCAAAATTCAGCCAGACCAATACTAGGATACATAAAATGTATCTACCGATACTGTATTGGGATATATCTGGATGAATTATGATAATGCACCAACCTGAAACGGCCAATTAGGGATAGTCAACCCCAGCCAACCATGATTTGGGTCGTGACATCACAGTGACCTTTGGGCCATGGTCAAAAATTCAAAGACTAGGCATGCCAGTTTCGCCAGTTTCGGTAATATTCATAAGCCAGTTACATACTACATGTTTTTTACCACTTATGAATTGGGATGCCAAACAGTTTTTCCGGATCAATGCTCAGATGCCCAGCTGCTTGGTGCTGATAAAATCCATTCACTGCTGATCTGGTGAAATCTTCGAAAGTCTGGAACATCGAAAAACATCACTAGGGTCACTAGGGCTTCAAAATATGGTACCCCCTGTCACCTCCATACTCAGAGGATCCGACAGCTCCTGATAAATCTGATAAATGGGATTAGTTCGTCCATCTATAAATGGGATACTCCACGAGTCATGGGGACTTAGAGACGAGGGGTTTTTTCACCACTTACGATCCGTGGGGTGATCCTCCAAAATAGTGGGGATGAAGGATGGATTGTTAATAATGATGGTTAGTTAATGATATGGTTAATATTGGTTATCTGGGCACATTGCAATAATGCACTAACCTGAAAAGTTCCGCCAAAATTGGGATAGTTCCCTGTACATTCACCATATCTAAAAAAGATCACAGTGAGGTCACTATAATTTACCAAGATTGTTATGATTAACAACTTCAGTATTAGCCAGTCTTACTAACCCTTATTGTTAATCATTATCATTAACCATTAACCATTAACCATTAAGATATTCACCATTACAGGGAAGACTGTTAATTACATTCAATCGCCAGTCTTAACCATGATGGGTAAATAACATAAAAAACCAGTAATCATGCATTCATCAACCATTGTTAACCCATTTATATGTTAGTCATTATCGTTGACCATAATGATTAATTAACCGTTATGACTATTAAATAACAGAACAACATTATCGTCATTATTATTTACCATTATCGATATTAACCCTGATGACCATCATCATTAACCATTAACTATTATCAGTATAAATGATATTATGATTAATCAACCATTCTGACTGTTTTATTTTTAAAAAAAAAACGTTGATATTCTGATGAATTAACCATTCTCCTTAATCATTATCATTAATTGTTAATTGTTAATCATTATTAACTCTTATAATCAACTATTGTCATTACTGGTTGGTTAACCATCTTGAACAAAATAGTCAATGGGAAGGATGACATCCCATATATGAGATGGAAAAAAAAAACATGTTCCAAACCACCAACCAGATCAGTATTGTTAACCATTATTCGCCATTACTAACCATTATAATAGCCATTACTAACCTATGAATGGCGATAAATCGCACAAGGACCGTCGCCTCGGGCGAGTCTGCTCCACCTCGGTGGTGGAAATATCTGGTGACCAAAGTTGGGGCGTGAGGAATTGATGATCCATAGGAATCCATAGATTTTTTTTCGTTTTTTCTGGGATGATATCATGTATAATATATATATATATTATATGTACATATATATACAGTATAATATAGTAATATATATATATATATACGTACGTATATATTATATAGGGGAAGCTATATATATATATGCAAAATGTATATACCAAATGTGTGTATATATATACACTCATAATTATACATATATATATATGTATCAATTCCCCCTAATGTAGAGTCTTGATTCGTGCGGTGGGTCGGTGTTGTGTCAAGACTTTTTCCCAAGCCAATTTGTTTTTCCGGATGTGTTTTCTTTTTTGGGCGGTTGTTACTTTTTTATTTTTGAGGAAGATTGAATGATTTTTTTGTTCAAGAAAATAATCCTAGTGACTTGACTTTTTATCCCCTTCCAGCAAAATATCAAATTCCTCATTAAAACCCAAGTAAAAAACAGCACCCAAACAATTCTGGTTGGTGGTATACCTACCCCTCTGAAAAATCATGGAGTTCGTCAGTTGGGATTCTGAAATTACTGAATGGACAGTCATAATCCATTCCATGGTTCCAAACCACCAGAATTTCTCTCGATGAACTAAGCTCATCTAACCACCCAAAAATTGGCTGATCATCCCACCCCACACCGCCAGGACCACGAGATTCTGACCCGTCGCGGCCGACAGCGGTGACGTCTCAGGTGCCTCTGTCGACAAGCTCTCGGCACCTCGTCGCGCTCAGAAATGGCGAGATAGGTCGAAACCATAGGAAACCCAATGGGAAAACAATCGGAAAATTGTGATTTAACCACCAAAAAATAGGGATTTTGTGGGATTTAACTTGATTTAACTAACAAAAAATATGTAGAAATCATGGGAAAGCCATAGCTAAATGGTGATTGAACTGGGGAAAGTGGTGAGAAACCTCTGGGAAAATGCTGACTTCACCAAGAAACCATTGGGATTCAATGGAATTCATAGATGATTTATGATGGCTAAGTTGGTGCACAGAACTAGATTGACTACGGTTTATGGTAGATGTAGTATCTATAGTCTTCACGGGCTTGATGTTTACCACCTATAAATGGGGGCTCTCACCTTCAAAAGGTCCTTGGTGAAATATGGAGGTTTCCAAAGTCAGCAATGGGGGTAGTAACCTCCAGTCATCATCCAGTCGTTGACCATGACTTGTGGTATTGAAACAACTATGGTGATAAATTGGTGACTTGGGGTACCTAGGAAACCTCCATCAATTCAAAAGTTGTTTGACAAACATGTTTTGAGACATCCAATGATTTTTGAGGGCTGAACCACCAAAAGTTGAACCGATCTCCCACCAAATGTTCTTGGCGACATGTTTGAATGAAATACTGTATCACCAAAATATCATCTTATGAAATATCCATGGACTTCGGAAATATCAATCACTAATAACCACTATTAATCACTATTAACCATGGTTAAAACCACCAAGACTTCTGAACAAAAACTGGACCAAGGAACAAGAACTCGTCTCGCAGTCGGGCAATCCACGGGGCAACTGCAAGCGACCTGGTCGACAAAAATGTTGCCTGAAAAAAATAAGTTGGTTACCCTCTGGTAAACATACAAAAAACTATGGAAAATCACTATTTTTCATGGGAAAACTCACTATACATGGCAATTTTTAATAGCTATGTTAAATTACCAGAGGGTAGAATATATGTGCATCATCAAGAAATTGAACAGTGGTTGATCCAAATATCAACGGGAATCATCCAGAATCTAGTTGATTCATCTACCCTCCAGAAATTTAGTAGTTGCCATTGAAAATTGCCCTTTTATAGATGGTTTACATTAATTTCCCTACAGTACTTCAAATTTCTGATTTTCCATAGTTCTGTTCATCCGCAGTTGTGAGATGTCAAAATGACATACCATTTGGTTATTTAACATAGCCATGGAAAATGGCCCATTTATAGATGGTTTACCTATTAAAAATGGTGATTTTCCATGGCTATGTTAAATAACCAGAGGGTATATTCGAATTGTGTATCCCAGTCTTAGCTTTTTTCATTGTAACAGGAGACTTTTTGGATATCGACAGGTCAACGGGGTCCGAATCCCACAGCTTGGTGATTACTGCTTCCATCTTGCCAGGATACCCCAACAGTTAGCATCAGTTAGCCAAGTGATGTTCTGAAAAACTCCCTATTATAAATGGTTAATCCCAGTTACTAACCAGCTCCTAACCAGGGACCAAGGCATCCAAGAAACTGGGCGACGCCGAGGGTGACATGGATGCGGCACCATCATCCTCTTCCTCGTCCTGCTATGTGTCACCGGCCTAAATAAGCCCCTGATAGAAAGGTAGATCAGTAGAGAATGGGAATATCACCATTAATAATTAATCCGGGTATTTTTTTTTGGTCAAGAATAATGGTTAATTCACCATCATTAGACATATCATTAACCATATCATTAACCATATGATTGACCCTTGTTATTTTCACCATGACAACCATGATGAATCCCCAGCGCTGCCGCTGCCAGGATCATCAAGCGTGGCCAGTGGCCAGTGGCCCAGTATTTCACTGGGATATACCATGATTTTTGCGCATTTTTTTTCACTGGGTGAAGAAGCCGAACCACCATTGAACCACCATGAACTCACCCATCAAAGCCGGTGCCTCATCGTCCAAGCTCAGCTTGTCCATGGCTCCAGCCTTCTTCAGCAAACCCACCTAACGATGCTGAAAAAATCATCAGAGCTATTACATGATTGTTTAGTTTATTAATGTTTATTAGAGGTTTATTCTAGTTTATTACATGAATATACTGTGAATATTTGTTTATGAAATGCTTGAATCATGTTATATGGCTTCATACAAAGCTCATATGCTGGGTTTATATGGTGGATATTCTGAAAATAATCCTCTTGAATGGGAAAATGATCATAGGTGTACATGATTTTCGGTGGAATTATATGCAGAAAGATTTGTTTGAAAAAGAAAGGAACACCTTTTTTTGGATTGAGTGGCGATTTCACCAATACGCTCCACAAATTGAGGATAATTATTGAGGACTTAACCAAATGTTGGGATGTCACCATCAAGAATTGAGACAATGACCATGAAAAATGGGGATTCAACCATCAAAAAGTTGGCATACCTGATTTGGATATTTTATGACCACAACTTCACAACCATAACCACAACCATGGTTGGGATGATCTGTGGTATTTAACAAATAAATATATCACATATAGTCACATTCCAAAGAAGAGTCCAAGAAATGTGGCCCGAAATTCCATTGAACTGGCCATGTTCACATGAAATTCATTGCTATTTCCCAGGTTCACAGGAGAACTCCATGGCCCATTTGAACAGCAGAATCTCTGCCATGGCTGAGGTGCCCGGTGATGCCCAGCATCACTGGGATTTGCTTAAGATGGCCCAAGAAAACATAGGATCATCATTAATAGTTCGGGTCTTACAATGGTTAATGGTTAATAATGGTATTATAATGGTATTATAATGGTGTTATAATGGTTAATGGTTTTAATAATGGTATTATATATATAATAGTCATGGTTTATAATGCTATTATCATTAAATGGTTTTCATAACAATACCCTGTAGATGGTCGATGGTCTGGTCCCAATAGATAGATTCCCAACCGTCAGACGGTGGATTTCCCGTCCCCAAAATTCAGCCGAATTTTCATCAGATCGGCGATGCGGCGAGGCACGAGTTTGGTCTGATTGAACTGCAGGGCGTAGTTGAGGCAACTGTGGTTCTCGTAGTCAAACTTGGGACGCAAAGTTTGTGTTAAAGCTGCAAAAAAAAGCTCAAAACGCTCGGGATGAAAATATATATGGTTTATGATGTTTATGCCTACGGGTTGAAAACCGAACCAGCGTTTTGCATGTTTTTATGTCATTCATGGGGTTAACGGGGTGGGGTGGGGTGGGGTAATAACGTTCATTTGCACTTCCTCACATATATGATGCTACGTTATTGTGTGTGGTGGGGTGGTGTGGGGTGGGGTGGGGTAATAACGTTCATTGGCACTTCCTCACATACATGATGCTACGCTACTGTATGTCGTCTTGCACTTCCTCACAGATATGATGCTACGCTACTGTATGTCGTCTTGCACTTCCTCACATACATGATGCTACGCTACTGTATGTCGTCTTGCACTTCCTCACATATATGATGCTACGCTACTGTATGTCGTCTTGCACTTCCTCACATATATGATGCTACGCTACTGTATGTCGTCTTGCACTTCCTCACATATATGATGCTACGCTACTGTATGTCGTCTTGCACTTCCTCACATATATGATGCTACGCTACTGTATGTCGTCTTGCACTTCCTCACATATATGATGCTACGCTACTGCATGTCGTCTTGCACTTCCTCACATATATGATGCTACGCTAGTGTATGTCGTCTTGCACTTCCTCATGAGAGATTTGTATCAAAACCTTGAGATGAGTTTTGAACGCAATGCACGCCAGGGATCTTGAGAGATGCACATGGAGACAAAAAGAGTGCATGGAACGCTTTTCCACCTGCTCTTGGCAGTGGAGATGGGAAAACAGTTCCCACAAAAAGTCCAAGCTCACTGCAGACATTGTCAAGAACACTTAGCGCAGAAAAAAAGAGACTGCCGCTGAGGTTTTTTACATTTCCAGTTAAAAGTACGCGCGTACTTTTTAAGGAAACTGAACTTTCAGGGAGATGCAAAACCACTGTGATTTGTGGTATAAAACCAATGACGAACACTGCAAACGTTGAAAACGCGGGTTCGATAAACAACCCGCCGGGATGTTTATGGATCGACAAGGCAATTTTTGTTCGATGTGTGCTAAAACGGTCAAAATTCATGGGATGAATTCATATGGTTTATGGTCATCCATCCACCAATTTTGGGGAGCATCCTTCCCAACGGATATAGAGTCACATCCCTATGGATTGATGGCCATCAACCCATGGCAGGGTATACAATCTCATCTTTTTGATCATGGCACCAATGTGGCTTTGTATAAAAATTGGGGACCCCAAACTGGGGAATCACCACTTCTAAAAATTCAAATGGCCAATAGCTACTGTATCTGGGTGCATCCCCTGGACAAACTGCAATGTGCATCCCCAGTGATTTGTTTGTTGCTTCATAAGTCCCAGTAACTACAAACCAATGTTTCTACCAACCCAACAGTCATACTAGTTAAGTATTTCAACCAACTTAGCCAACTAAAGTTACTAAAGTTACTAAAGTTACTAAATCACCATTTCATGTCACTTAACTGTTGGTGATATCCCCCCCATTGCTAGCAGGTTTTTCACGGCCGAGACACGTTGTTCACATTGGCTTGTGCCAGGATCAAACGTCGAGTGATAGCCTCATTGGATACTAAAATGATGATTCCAAGGTGGAAAAAACAGGGTTTCAAAGTTTCACCCCATTTGCAAAATCACAGATCAGCCATAGTTTCTGTTCGATCAAAGCGTTATTTTGTCGATCCGTTGGCCTTGTGGATTGGCGTGTGGAATTGAGAAATACCATCGCTTTTCTCTATCGAAAATGACCAAAATGACCAACCACTGCGATGATAACTTGTAGTCCCCCTATCTTGAGAACCCGACAGTAAAGTTGTGAGTCTTGAGCCATGATTCAGAAAACAATAAAGGTGTTTTTTTCGTCACAAACTTGTGCTGGGCAACTGGATATACTATGATGATCATCTATCATCCATCTTCTCCAATTGCAGTCTATACATAGACCATCATAGACAACAGTTGAAACTTGAAACCACAGTTGAAACTTCATGCATAATTTGTCAGTCATATGAGATCATATAAGAATGTCATATTAGAGTCATATGATGTCACATGGCAACCAGACACCTTTCCGATTGCGGTTTTCTACAGCTCAACTGGCTCCCCATGGCTCAAAAAGGGAATATTTGGATACTCTTAGCTCAGCTCACCGCAAACACTCCGTGAAAACCACCGGATTAAAATTAAAAAAAACATGTACAGCAACATACCCTAACAATATACCCTATACCCATCTGTATACTAACACTTCGATGTGGAGTTTACCCACAAAAAAAGCAGATCATGTTCCGTTTCCTCATGGGTTTTCCACATCTTTTTCTATGTTTACCCCAAGGTCTCACGGTGACGCCACCAGGGTAGCTGTACCTCGTTGCCATTGGCCACGGCGAACATCAGGGCAGTGCAGCCGTTGTGGTCTCGCGCCTCAAATTCATCCCACACTGTGGAAGAAATCCTGGGCTTGTAATGGGACAAGCCATCTAGCAACTGGTGCAGGATCTCTCCCATCCACCGTATGTATGATAATATATATATATATATTACGTGTATACATATATATATCATATATATTCTTGCTGTCTCCAAAATGGGGTGTTTAAACTATTATACACATTCTACACATCTAGTAGCTTGTGATTCTATTTGATCCAAACATACGAGAATCATCTGCTAATTTAACATAGCTATGGAAAATAGCCCGTTCATAGACAAGTTACATCAGTTTACCTATTAATTGACTTTCCGTAGCTACGTTAAATTACCAGAGGGTAAATTGGACATTAGACGACATTAGGTTGTTTTTTCTGTTCTCATCTGGTTGACAGTTCAAAGCCCGAAAGTGACATCCTGAAGTTTCTTATGTGCTCCTGGGTTTTCCCCCGCCTCAATGTAGGCCTTGGCGTGCAGCAACATGGTGATAATATCCGCCTCGTGCACCGGGCATGGCTCACCTTGCAACCTAAAAAAAAAGGTAAGTCAGGTGAAACTTGGGTAGGCCCGAAGTTGATGTTGTCATCAACTTTGTGACTTTGTGATTGCAATATGGCTCTAGGACAAACTCGGAATTCGTATATGGGGGGGTGCCATAAATGGGGTACTGTACCCAAAATGGATTTTAAAAAAATGGAAAATCCATCCATAGATTTTTTAAAGGGGGTAGCCCTATGACTTAGGAAACCCCCTTGGATGTTATTCGTCATCAAACATGGTCAAAATCTGCGGAACCGCCACCAGGCCTGTTTTTCGTCATCTTCCACGTTCCTGTGGCAGTCCAGGGCTCTACTATGGTCTACTGACGGGAACAAAGACCACACATGGCGTATCTTTGCCCGTTGTTAGAAACAAAACAAACCCAAAAAAATGGTGGTCAATAAGTTTAGGCCATGGTCATATCTATGTATATTGTATATAATTATATCTGTATTTATGAATATGGGGTGGGGTTAAGGAGGTACCTGCGCAAAACATCACATTGCATACACCTGAAAGGTTTGCCATGTTTGGATACATTTGGGGAGGATTCCATCTACAAACCATCACTTAGTGGACGACCGGTCTGCCCCTGAAATCGAAAGGAATTGTCCATATTCAGGAGGTAATAAGTAGGTCAGCTTACACTAAAGCCCAAGGTTCTGCACAATGCTGCGCAGGTATGTTCAAACATGGGCCCCCAAAAAAAGGACTGGTTTCCTTTCGTACTGTAAATGACCCACCAAACTGCTCCCCAATGACCGTTGTAGGCTCAGATCATGGCTAAACTTAACTGACAGTTACACCTTTCCTGTCAAAAACATGAGTTGGGTATTATGTATATATATATACTTATATATACTATATTTTTTTATATAGTTTTAAATAAGCACACTGTATACATAGTTTTATACTACATTCATGGTTCCAAAATGATTATTACATAAACATATTGCTACAATAAAAAAACTCCGACACATCATCAAACATCATCAAACATCATCAAACATCATCAAACATCATCAAACATCATCAAACATCATCAAACATCATCAAACATCAAACAACATCATCAAACATACTTATATGACATATATATATATATATACATATTGTATAATATTGTATATATATATATATATATATATCCCCCATATCCCCATTATATCCCATTGGTGATATATCAAACATCATCCATCTGCCTGCGTGCTGCATGATGCAGGGCGGTCTTATCGGTATCGTCCACTGCATTCACCTCAATATCCTTGGACTTGCTCAGTAAATACTCCACCACCTGAAAAAAACGCGTTCATCCTACAAGAATGGAGATCTATAGCTGGGAAAATCATGGAAAATCATCGAACTAAATGGGGGAGAAAAAAAACTGGAAAATCCCGAAACAAAATGAAGGTTTATATCTGGGAAATTCAACGAACTAACGGTTTATCTTCCATTTGCTATGCTTGATTACCGGAGGGTATCCAGAAATGTGGCAAGGCATGGTATAATATCGAGGATTTTGTGGGGATCGGCAACCACCTTGATGTGATATTTGGGTGTGACTGAAAATTGGGGGTTTACCTCTGCCCACGAACCCGAATGCAGTCACGTAGAACACTTTTTTGAAACAAGTTGTTTGAACTTTTTTTTACATGTTTCCCCGTTACCGTACCAGTGCACTGTAGACTGTGCAAGACGGAGGAGTGTGGAGTGCAAAGTGTGGGGTGTGAAGAAAGTGCAGTGTTGAGTGGCGAATGCATATGTATAGTGTGAAGTGGGTATTGCGTGTAAAGTGCAAGGTGTGCGGTGGAAAGTGTGGAGTGTGCACTGCACTGCAGACTCTGGAGTGTAGAGTGTGAAGTGTACAGTGTAAAGTGTGGAGTGTAAAGTGTATATAGTGTGTAGGTGTACAGTGTAGAGTGTGGAATGTAAAGTGCAAAGTGTGGAGTGCAAAGTGTAGAGTGTAAGCTGTGGAGTGTGGAGTGTACAGTGTAAAGTGTAAAGTGTGAAGTGTAGAGTGCAGAGTGTGGAGTGTAAAGTGTGGAGTGTGAAGTGTGGAGTGTGAAGTGTGGAGTGTGGAGTGTAAAGTATAAAGTGTGGAGTGTAAAGTGTAAAATGTGGAGTGTAGAGTGTGGAGTTTGGAGTGTAAAGTCTGGAGTGGACTGCAGAGTCTGGAGTGTAGAGTGTAAAGTGTAGAGTGTGGAGCGTGGAGTGTAAAGTGTGGAGTGTAAAGTGTAGAGTGTAGTGTGGAGTGTGGAGTGCGGAGTGTGGAGTGTAGATTGTAGAGTATGGAGTGTGGAGTGTCGAGTGTAAAGTGTGGAGTGTAAAGTGTAGAGTGTAAGCTGTGGAGTGTGGAGTGTAAAGTGTAAAGTGTAAAGTGTGAAGTGTAGAGTGTAGGGTGTGGAGTGTAAAGTGTGGAGTGTAAAGTGTGGAGTGTGAAGTGTGGAGTGTAAAGTGTAAAGTGTGGAGTGCAAAGTGTAAAGTGTAAAATGTGGAGTGTAGAGTGTGGAGTGTGGAGTGCAAAGTGTAAGTGTAAGTGTAAAATGTGGAGTGTAGAGTGTGAAGTGTGGAGTGTGAAGTGTGGAGTGTGAAGTGTGGATAGTGAAGTGTGAAGTGTGGAGTGTAGAGTGTGGAGTGTCATCGCATGGCACAACATGCCACGCCTGACGCGGGATGTTGCCACTTCACGCAGCCCTCACAATGCGATTCGCAAAAAACACCACATATCTAAAGTGCTGCGCCTGCCACGCAAAAGCACGCTGGAGGTCTCCAAAGTGCTGCGCCTGCCACAAAAACTGCGACTCATCTTCTGACAACGACGCAAAAATATTATTGCGCCTGCTTCACAAAACGACTTTTGACACGTTTGCAGACACGTGAGAATGTCACGAAATGCCACGCCGCCCTGCCACGCAAAACGACATTACAACCTGCTTTGACACCTCCGAAAAGGAGAGGTTTTGCAGCTTCCCCCATAGACACGGCGATGCCACAAGAAAGCCAGAGACTCGAGACGAGACGCATCAAAACGAGCATTTCATGCGAGACTTCCTCCAATTTTTACACCGTGCACCGTGCAGCTTCAAAATCGACGTTTTCCTACCAATTTTCTTATGAACCTCAACCTCAAAATCAATGTTTCGTGCGAGGCTTCCGTCAATTTTCAGCACATCTCACAAAATGCCATGCCTGCCACGGAATTTGCACGATGTCACCACTTGACGCGATTCGCAAAAAACACGCAGCACAACACGTCTGAAGTGCTGCGCCTGCCACGCAAAATGACGATGGAGGTCGCCAAAGTGCTGCGCCTGCCACGAAAACTGGAACGCATCTTCTGAAAACGTCGCAAGAGTATTGCGCCTGCCACACAAAACGACTTTTGACACGTTATGAAGCATGTTGGAATGTCACAAAGTGCCACGCCTGCCATGCGAAACGAGGCTACGCGACGTCTGAAACCTCCAAAAGTGACCACTGTTGCAAAACTCGCCATAGGCAATACGGCCCTCACGCGCACAGTTGCAGACGTAAACGCAACGTCGAGCGAACACACCCTCAACCCCCAGACCCCCAGAGTGCTGTAAACCATTGGATTTGGGGTGGAAACCCCCTAAATCTTCAGACAAAGCCATTTCGGAAACCCTGGTTGATTGGTTGTTAGTAGGAGTTTAAGTATTTTTAATCATCTCTTGTAGGGGTTTAACGATCAAAAATATGGAATAGAATTGATGAATGATTATTGATGATTGCAATGCTACATAACCCATAAGATCCATGTATGGTATATATGCTAACATTTGGGGTATATTGATGGTAAAATGGTAAATGTTACCATATATAGCATACAAGGATCCTATGGGTAATACTACCCTTTACACATTGGGGATTATCACAATCCACGGAATCCTCATAAACCAACCATAGAGATTTTCCAGCACAAGAAGGGGCTCCAAGTTCGGTTGGTTTCTTTTGGTACCCTCTGGTAAACCAACATAAGTATGGAAAATAACCATATTTTTGGTAGGCAAATCAACTATCAATGGCCAGGTTCAAGAGTTGTTTGTATGTTTACCCCATTTTTGGTAGGGAAATCAACTATCAATGGCCATGTTCAATTAACTGTGTTAGTTTACCAGAGGGTAAACATGATTGTAGCCGAACTGGCTGCCGAACTGTTGGATGGGTGATCAACTGTCGTGAAAAATGGGCTGTGAAACGATCCCACCGGTGGCCAGGCAGTTGGAAATATCATCAATATTCATCAATCACAATAGAGTGATGAGTAATTCATCAGGACCCAACAAACTGAGTCTAATTGGTGGTTGCAACCCCTCTGAAAAATATTAGTCAATGGGAAGGATTATTCCCAATATATGGAAAAATAAAAATATGGAAAAATAAAAAATGTTCCAAGCCACCAACAAGGAGTTGTGTGAAATAAATTGTGGAACCGAGAATGAAAAAGGCTTACGTAGGAGCGCGTTCATTGACGTTTTCCCGAGGTTTTGATTTCACATACGGCAAAACGATTTCAAAGAATTAGTTTACGCATCTCTTACGGCAAACCAATATTGGGGACATGTAGTGTCGCAAAGGAACCACGATGGGCCAGGGGTAAGTGAATGCAACCTTCGCTTGCGGCTAGATTACGGATTGCTTACACAGAGCTTACAGCAAATTCCGATCTCATAAAGCAACACCGTGAAGAAAGTGGCTTTCATTCTGGCTTGCTTTCCCTATATATTACGGCAATAAGTGACCAATGCTTACGTCAAACCTTTCGCACTTCTTGTGAAAGCCAGGAAAAGTCGTATACGACTTGATGGAATTTCTGCCAGCATCTGCCAGCCCTATTGGGTATAATGTAAAAGGAGCCCCAAATGTATTTGGGTAATGTGGGATGATTTGTTATTGGGTTTACCTCATTAATTACTCTGATTCAAATATGGTAATTGATAAATGATGGTTGATGATTATCGGGGGGTGAAACCGGGCATGCTACCTTTTACTCTACCTTCGGGATTAGCAGTACAAATCTCGATTTCCCGCTAATTCACACTTCCATGTTGGCTTAGTACTTCCTTTCTATTTGCTGTTTGACCTGGCTCGTGAATTTATACTTGGATGCATAACTTTGGTGATCACAAGTCCCCAGTCCGGAGTGCCGGCGCTGGGTTTTTATAGTCAAAGAAATTGGAGAACGGGAACCAGAAAAAGGGAGCATTAAGCAGCAAATACAACCAAACAAATATCAACAAACAAAATCTTGGATATGATCAACAAAAGGGTGCATGTACCAGATAAGCATGCTGTATCCACCACTCCTTTTCCGATATGTTATGGTTTCTCAATTCTTGGGGTGGGAAAGATTGGGAAAGCCATGTTTGTAACATTTGCCTAGTTTCCAACCTAGTATGTTTGTTACATTCATCTAGGGCGTACTCCCATTTTCACCATTTAATGCTAGTTACATCAATGTTCAGTTTACCTAGTGCTTGAATAGCAGTAACCCCCCCTTCCGAAATGGTAAACCCATCATCTTCGCGCTTGGGGTCGGTTTTTAGGCTTTTTGTAACCCCCTTGATTCATGAATAAACATGTTTACTACCCACTATGAAACTGTATGTGATATAACTATAAGATACTACATATAAGTATGTAAACTATATAGCTATATCTAATGATTATAATCACGACTATTAAGCATCGTTAAACCCATTTTGAGTAAACCGTATATAACTGGGCTATGTCATGATGGTTCCTGCCGTCCAGCACCACCAAGCTAGTTCTACACGGATCACAGTCCCCATTTTGTGGCTTATCCCAACAAGACAATGGATGCACTACAAGATGAGGGTCCCTAATCACATTGCCAATCTTAGATACCCTGCAAAAAATTAATTCGTTGCTGGTTAGTAGGTATTCCCATTAATATCAAAAGACTAGTTAGGATTAGTTTGTACCCATGTAAGATTGATGCAGATTTTTGATAGCTAAGTTGACGCACATTTCACATATTTCACTTGGTAAAAGCCGGGTCTGCCGATCTGTTGCCCGCCTCGCGATGCCCGTAGCTCGAAGCATAAATCAAAGCGGTTTTCCCGCGGACGTCGCTGGCATTCAGATTGGGCCGCTGGCTAAACTTGGACCTGCACCGCTTTTTGGGCCGTTTTTTGACGACGGAAAAAGGTGTAAAATAAAGGTGTAAGCGAAGAGGTATCTATATCTAACCATCTATGTAATCCATCTGATGGGCTGATATGATATGGATCTAATCAATATCATCCATATTATATACAAGGTGGTGCCCCCCCAGTGATGTTTGTTGGTTTATAATCCCATTAACTAGTTCGATATATCACCTATAAACCATAGTGAAATGGGAGTTATGTTCACCAACTTAGCTATCGAACTGGGGCACCACTTTGTATATATATATATACCATTGCATATCTAAGTGATTATATATTAAATATGTTCCATATATATATATTGCTGAGATTAATATATATATATATATATTAGATAAAGATTAGATGTTCCAATTGATTAATCTCAGCGAATTTAAGTGGGAGCTGTGTCCCTGGCTCCGTGCCGGGCCAAGTTCATCATATCGTTGGATGGGAAAGATGACATGTGGCAGCCAGGACGCAAAAAAAAGGGAATCATATGTAATTCATGTGATCATATATGCATATATGATCTATATATATATATGATCTGTATATATATATATGATCTATATGTGTATAGATATATATATATATGTATATATATGCATATATATATGCATATATGATCTATATATATATGATCTATATGTGTATATATATATATGTATATATTTATGCATATATATATGCATATATGATCTATATATATATGATCTATATGTATATATATATGTATATATATATATGCATATATATATATATATGCATATATGATCTATATATATATGATCTATATGTGTATATATATGTATATATATATGCATATATATATGCATATATGATCTATATATATATGATCTATATGTGTATATATATGTATATATATGCATATATATATGCATATATGATCTGTATATATATATATGATCTATATGTGTATAGATATATATATATATGTATATATGCATATATATATGCATATATGATATATATATATATGATCTATATGTGTATATATATATGTATATATTTATGCATATATATATGCATATATGATCTATATATATATATGATCTATATGTGTATATATATATATGTATATATATATGCATATATATACATGCATATATGATCTATATATATATGATCTATATGTGTATATATATGTATGTATATATATGCATATATATATGCATATATGATCTATATATATATATGATCTATATGTGTATATATATGTATATATATATGCATATATATATGCATATATGATCTGTATATATATATATGATCTATATGTGTGTATATATATATATATGTATATATATATATGCATATATATATGCATATATGATCTATATATATATGATCTATATGTGTATATATATATGTATATATTTATGCATATATATATGCATATATGATCTATATATATATATAGATCATATACGCATATATATAAATGCATAAATATATACATATATATATATACACATATAGATCATATATATATATAGATCATATATGCATATATATATGCATATATGATCTATATATATATGATATATGTGTATATATATATGTATATATATATATATGCATATATAAATGCATATATGATCTATATATATATGATCTATATGTGTATATATATGTATATATATGCATATATATATATGCATATATGATCTATATACATATATATGATCTATATGTATATATATGTATATATATATGCATATATATATATGCATATATATATATATGCATATATGATCTATATATATATGATCTATATGTGTATATATATGTATATACATGCATATATATATGTATATATATATGCATATATATATATGCATATATGATCTTTATATATATATATATGATCTATATGTGTATATATAAATATGTATATATATATGCATATATATATATGCATATATGATCTATATATATATGTGATCTATGTGTATATATATATGTATATATATGCATATATATATGCATATATGATCTATATATATATATGATTTATATGTGTATATATATATTTATATGTATATATATATGCATATATATATGCATAAATATATACATATATATATATACACATATAGATCATATATATATATAGATCATATATGCATATATATATATGCATATATATATGCATATATGATCTATATATATATATGATCTATATGTGTATATATATATGTATATATATATGCATATATATATATACACATATAGATCATATATATATATAGATCATATATGCATATATATATATGCATATATATATATACATATATGATCTATATATATATGCATATGTGATCTATATATGTATATATATATGGTCTATATGTATATATATATGTATATATATATGTATATATATATATATGTGCATATATATATGTATATATATATATGCATATATGATCTCTATATATATACATATATGTGATATTATGTGATCATATATGCTTACGGGTCAAAACCAAGGTACATTGGTGAAGCCTAAGTCATAGCTGGTAATTTTTCCACATCATGAAACACCAAGGACCATCTCACCATCGGTTTCTGGATGTCACTGGGCATCCGACATGATGCCAGTGCCAGGCTCAATCATCTGGACGGGACAAGCGCAAGGCGCTGAACGTGGAAGAAGTTTGTCATATACAGAAATATATGTATAATATATATGATATGCATACATTTGAATATGACATTTAAAACGAACATGCGTCACAATACGTGTATAATATATATATATATTGCAATATATATGGCCTTCAAAGCGGTGATTTACCGGCAATATATGGCTCATAATTGGGCAATTTGGTCACGTTCTTTTCCCCATCAATTTTGGTCATTTGGGGTCGCCATCCCAGTAATTGGTCCGTAACTGGGGTTAGAATCACTTGCAAATGGGATAAGCCACTTACAGGACCAACCCGTAAAAACCAGGGTTTTTGCTAACCCTAAAACGATCCCTGGGATGATCCTCCTTCGTGGTACGGCTTCTTCGAGTTCTGTTTGCTGATCGCGGCCGAGTTTGCAGATAAAAACTTGTAGTGAGTTTGCAGTGTTGGAGGACTTCTTTCTGGTAGAAACCCTCCGGTTCTGGCTGTATCCTTAGCTTTGCACGATATACAATGGGAATCCGGAAATCCTGAAAAAATTGGTGCAGTGAGAATCCCCATTCATGGGATGACCGTCCCCCAACTTGGACAACAAATCCCAAGTTCTGACCATGGTATGTTCCCACACTCCATGTTCCGTGTCTATGACAGAAATAGCCTGGTCATATAAGCAAAACTTCAATACTTCTCCTCTAAAACATTCTAAAACCTCAGTCATGTTGAAAACTGGGTAACCTACAAATTGAGGGCTCGGATCAGTTCCATGTACCTAAAAATCATGAGTTGGCCATGGGTTCGGGGTGGATTTTTTGACAGGTCATGCAATCGAGAATGAGAATGGGCTCCAGTGAACCCAAAAAATGCTTGGATACTTCATTCAGGAAACCTTTAATGGACATAAGCCATCAAAATGAAGCTTACCCTCTGATTATTTAACATATGGAAAATCATCTTATTTTTATTGGTACATCATAAAGCATCTATAAATGGGCAATGTTCCACAACTATGAAAGAAACATGTCCCCGATGTCGCGCTGAATCCAACGAAGATCTTCACCATGTCTGGGCTCTTCCAAGCAGAAAATCTCCCAAGGTCTTGGTTGGAAAGCCATCATTTCTGTGCAGAAAAATAGATTCTATAGATTCTTTCTTCCGCGAAAACCTTCACCATTGGGTTGCGTAAAGAGTCCTCCAGTTTCATATTTTGTGGACTCATCCTGTTCCCCCTAATAAGCACCCCCATGCACCATGGCTTCTTGTCCGATAAAAAACAATGACCATTTGCATAGGATGTTCACTATCAGGGCGATGGAATGAGAATTATGTCTTCCCCATTCTGTCATGGCCATTTGCTGTGGCGAAAAAACATTTTCAGGCAGACCCTGGCAGTCATATCAAGTTGGTGAGTTTGGTACTATATCCCAGTTTATCGCCGTTTGTTGGCTATAACCCCTCATAACTTTGTTTATAATCCTTGGCTGAAGAGGGCCCAAAAGATTCCCAAAGATGCTGCTGGATGTCCCATTGGGAAAAAATCATTCTGAATCCCTATAAACCATAAACCATAGATACGTTCTCCAATAGAGCATAGCTAAGCAAGTGAACTGTGCGTGAACTTAGCCATCATAAATCCGCTCTAAATCGGCTCTAAATCCAGGATTTTTCTAGCTGAATCATCATTCTCCCCTGGCTTTTCATAATTTTCCCCAGTTAAATCACCATTGTCCCTATTTTTCTGTGTGAAAACACCATTTTCCGATGGTTTTCCCATGGTTTCCACATGTTTTTCTTGGTTAAATTCCAGGCGCCTTCTTCAGGACATGCAACTCTCCACAACGACAGATTTCCAACATCTCCTGGCGATCCAACATCTTCTTTAGCTGGCAGTGTGTCAAAACCTTGTACCCCTGGTGAACATCAAAATAGCTGGTAAATGGATGTTCATCCCCTAAAAACGGTATTAATAGGTATTGACCCATACCCAGCTGATGAATGGACTATTTTTTTTACCATTCACAGCAAGTTCGATTTTTTGTACTTCGTATCTAACCAGGGTTGACTCAGGGGAATTATAATATATTGTAATTGACTCAAATTCTGAAAACCAATGACTCAGGTTGCTCAAACTTGTGGACGGTGTATTGAATCACCAAACTATGTCAAACCATGATAGTCCACAAGTTTATTTATGGCTTATTTATGTGTATTTTTTGTTGCTTGAATCACCATTGTAAATATCAATCTTTGATCGTCCAGATAAAATTATCATCTGTTGCTGGCTGGTGATCCATTTATGTCGCAAAAAACTAACTACAGGATTAGTCGGTAGCCATCCAGTCGGTTGGGGATTAAAGAAACCATGATGAATCATGACCAGCAGTTGGGCTATTTACATACATTTACAACATTTAAATGTTATGTTTATGGTATATGGAACTTGTATGGTTTATATGGTTTATATGGTTTACATGGTTTATATGGTTTATAATAGGGTTTATAGAGACAAGAATTGTGGACATGAAACATGAGGGAACGGATTTACCCTGTGGCAATCAAACATGGCAATCAAAAGTGACCTATTTATTTATAGTTGTTCAGCTACAGAGAATCGCGCGCAGCTAGGGAACTAGTCAACAAAAAATAGACCAGAGAAAGACTGTAGATTTCAATGATAAATAATGGTGATATCACAAAAACATACAAAAACCTGGAAAAGGATGGAAAAGGGAGAAGAAAACTTTGAAACCATGGTGTTAACTAACGAGAAAACACGATCTCATCAACCGGAATTGGGATCTCGATCCACAAATATTAGGGAATTCCACTTCTGAATATGCTTCTTGTCGCCTGAAACAAGGATACCTCTCCGCCTCTCCGTTAAAAATCGAAGAAAAGATGTTTGATCTACAAAAGTGCTTCTAGACATCTACCAATACAATTAATTGAGGTACATCATGTACATCTTACAAAATCCAAGTTGATATATGGAGTTTACCCACCTGTTTAGATCATGGTTTCCGAGCAGCTTTCCCCATGGCAGCCATGGCAACATCCCATCCTTGACTTTGTTGCTTCCCCACCTTAGCTGCGAGGCAGAAGCCTAAGCAACTAAATCTCCATGCCTAGTTCGGGGTTTCCCAGCCAGCGATGTTTGATAAATTCACCATATCACATATTGTTGGTCAGGAAGTTCCCGTTCAGATCCCTCTGTAGGATACGCGTATCCATGCGTATCCTGAATTTCCACATGATAAAAAAAAATCTATGAATTAACCAAAGGATACCTCACACCTACCCTCTGGTAATTTAACATAACTATGGAAAATCCCCATTGTTCATGGGAAAATCCACTATAAATGGCCATTTTCAATAGCTATGTTAGTTTACCAGAGGGTATACCATTATAGTAGGTTGGTTACATCCTCCATGTTTGTTGGTCTGGCCAGTCCTGGCCAAGTCACCAGGATAAACTGGCCAGACTAGTCATCACTAGTCCGAGCTGACCCGAAATAAGATGCTTAAGCTGCTTAAACCCCAAAAAATTGGTGCCATTAACTATAATCAATGGATTGGTTTAAGGGAAAATCTACAGGAAACCATAGATTTTTCCATTAAATATGGGGCTTTTCTGTAAATTTTCCCTTAAACCAATCCATTGATATAGATAAAGATAGAATGTTATAGAATATGAAAGAATAGTATAGATATAACTGATATAACGACCATGAACCACCCATATTTGGATGGTTTTTTTTTCACCACCTATGGTAAACTTGGAGTGGATCCTATTGCTTTGGTAGCATGATTCCAGGAAAAGTATGATACTTCACAAACCTGAATTGAGGCTATTTTGAGATAGTCACTCCAATCCTCACCATTATTCCGAATTCCGGTGGTTACAATTCATCCAGAATCATCCAGATATATAATATACCCGTTATTTCCCACTATATTCACAATATACCATTATTTTTGTTGGTAAAATGTTCGTGAAACCCCCATCGATGGTGAACTCTCCACTCCATAGCCACATAGTCGCTAAAACTATAGTTAATGGGATTTATAAACAAACTTATAACCGTGGGCCACCATAGTTATAGAGGTTATATCCCATTTTATGATTCAGCGTAGTTTTGTGAATTTTGATGCACATCAATTATTCCCATCAATATGATGTTATATAATTGATCAGGTAATTGATGATATAATTGGATATAATTAACCTATTTGTGGATTATATTAATGGGATTTGTAAACAAACTAAAAAAATAATAATAGACTTACAGGGGTATATATATCCAATTATATCATTCACCATAGTTTTGTAACTATCAACACTGGTTGGTGGTTGACCTACCCCTCTGAAAAATATGAGTTCGTCAATGGGTTTCGGATGACATCCCATATATGAAATGGAAAATAAAATTCATGTTCCAAACCACCAACCAGCCATCCATTAACCATCCATTAACCATCCATTAAACCACCATTAACCATGTTTGAAACCACCAACCAGAAAATAACTCACGATTTTGGGTGGGATTTCACCTCCAAATGCTAGTTTTCTGGCGGCCAAGGCCCCCCAAGGCCCCGCGCATTGTTGCTGGCTTGCTTGCCCCGGTGACTGACGGCGTAACGCGTAACGCGTAACGCGTAAGCAAAAGGGTTTTGGTCCGAACTAGATGGAGGTTTGAATGCGAAAATCATGGAAAAACATGTACAAATGGAGGCCTTTTAAGGGAAAATCATAAATGAAGAATCTGTTCTTGCTAATTTAAGGGTGTCTACATATCGTAGATGGACGATGAAATCAAACCCCTGCTGTATTGTTGTCGCCCCTGCGTCCCCAAATTTCAATGTTGCTTTTGGGCTACGCGCTTGGAGCCGGGGGGCAAAAAAATCAACCCCTAACGCAGAGGAAGCTATATAGAGCTTTGTGCAACATTGAAATTTGGGGCCTGGGGGTTTACTTGGTAGGCGTCTGTAGGGTCTGATCTTTTTGTCCATCTACTGTATGATTGAGACTCAAGTCAGCCATGGCATCCGTTGGTTTTCACAGCATAGCTGGCATTTATGATCCGCAGTAGATTGATCTGCTACAGGTGCCATGGAAAGGATCCAAGAATCTCAGAATAGCTGGGAAGATCTGTAGGAAAACATAGGAAAACCTGATATTTGATGTGAAAAAACATGGATTTCCAGCCGATTTTCTCTTGAAGCACTCCATTTTTCCTGCAACGTTCCAACTTTACAAATCCAGGACTTACCTTCACCAGGTTTTTTTTAGGAAAACCTAAATGGGATGATCGTCAATGATCCTCAACCCTCCAGTCGGCGCAAAAAAAATTGGCACCTTTGCCCACCAAATGCTCCCCGGTCTTTGTCCTCAGCCGTGACAGTCATCGCCGTATGCATGGACAACCCCTCACTGATGACATCATGGTCATGAGCACCATCACTGGTCGATCACTTAAACTGCATGGGACTTCTACTCCGTTTTTGAAGTGCTTTGTGGTTCACTGATGTTGGTAGTCCCTTCAAATGCTGGCCAAAATCATGGCACTACTCCTGTCTTTTCGGATGGCGTTGACATGATGCTATCTCCACCCACTGATATTGAAAATAGACCCAAAACAAAGGGTGGCAAAGCCTATTCGCGGGATCCATGAGATGGCCCAAAAATGCCATAGAAATATATATAACCCCAAGGCCCATCATTTTCAGACACACCTTTTTTCAGACGCACCTTTTTCCGGAGGTTCCTTTTTTGTTTTTTTTTTCAGAATCAAGGATGGTCAACGGGTGTCCACATCGCCAAGATACACCAAGCTAATCCATCCAACGACCATACCCTGGGCCAAACGGCAAAGATACTATGGGGATGTCTTGACCTAATGGCAATTTCTTTGGCAATGATATACCTCCAAGAATTTTGGATGTAGTCTTTATTTCTGTTACTTATCAATGGCCAAAAAAAGGCAATGTAGCTTGAATAGGTGCATTCTGACATGTCATTTCGGGATGATTCCTCTTGTAGTACAAACCAATTGCAAAGAGGGCTCCATAAGTTGCATAAGTTGGACATAGGTATATCTATAGTATTCTATAGTCTATACTTAATGTATCTTAATGGTGTTTAAAACCATAATAATAGATACTTAATGTTCTATTGGTTTGTTCTATAGTCTATACTTAATGTTTAAAACCAACCAAACCGAAATGCGGGGCACCAGTGGCCGTAGTACCGCAATGGTACCCAAAAAACACCTCTGGCACGACCCTGTTGAAGCTACTGCAGCTACTGCGATTTTATGGGATTGTCAAAATTTGGAACCCCAATAATCTCCTCTATTAAAATCTTGGGGCAAACCCAAAATAGGTTTCTTCTGACACCACTTGTCAAGTTCAGCAGGGACTTGTTCGATGTCTAGAAGCAAACTGTGACACTCCAAATGCCTTGACATTTCTTGGAAACAGAAACTGCTCCCAGGAGAATCAATTTTCTTTCAGAACCTGTGATTGGTCCAATGGTGATTGGTGATTTTGATTTTCAGTGGTTTGAAGTCATGTTGAGATTTTCCACCAGTGATATATCATATTAAGATTTGAAATGAACTGATATCGCATAAGTCAATGGTTTTTCCACCATGTTAAGATTTGTCCAATCATTGGTGAAACCTGTGATTTTGACTGACACCGCAACCAAGATGTTTCAAGCTGTTTCCCAGATCGCCAGGCAACTGAATCCACAAGGGCTCTTCGCTTGTTCTGAACACCCAATTCCTTGATGGTGATAATGGCTCCTGCATGGGAGCATCTGGATAGCTACTGGGGTTGATACTAGCTACTGTTTTCAGGCTAGTTAAATGTAGTTATATAAGTGGCAACCAATAAGCATGTCTATATACAAAGCCTGTCATTCTGGATAAATTCCAATGATCCACCAGTCTCAAAAGGTTTGCCTGGTGATGACATCGCACTGATGTCACTTTCTTATTGATCCAGGCGCGTTGCAGAATTGGGACCCACAGACCCAATTCGGAATCTCCTATAAATAGGTAGTGGTAGTTGCAGCTGCATGTCTTAATTAAGATATCTGGTCCTCTGAAAAATATGAGTTCGTCAGTTGGGATTATGACATTCCCAACTGAATGGAAAGTCATAAAATTCATGTTCCAAAACACCAACCAGTACATGTAGTGTTTAATATTGAATGATTCGATATAACACTGAATATAATTATCTGGGAAAATTAGACATAATATATATATATACTATATATATAATATTATATACATAGTATATATATATATACATTATATTCTATATATATTATATGTATATATATTGCATGTCTTAGTTAAGATATGATCTGAGTGTGTGTCAGCAGTGTGTTACGTCGACTTGTGGACATGTAGATAGCCTCCTTCAGAAATGGCAGCAGGAAGAGCCGGTCGCCCAAAAAGGAACACGGGGGCTTAAAGAATGGTGTGCTAAAATGGGAATATGTTTTAAAAAAATGTTCTATGTATTTTATTTCAGAATGAGCCTACTGTATATATCAACAAATCCATATATAGATCCCTCTAAAAATCCGTGTAAGCTCCCTATAGCACCACCGGGTTGCACAACCGGCTCCTGCTTTCAATTCACCAATGTAGTCACTGTCCAAGGCTTCTCCCGTCCTGTTTTTACCGCTCTTTTTCATGAAAATCACCCTAATTCCACGTGGACTTTTGATGATTTTTTCGATGTTTTTGAAATTGTATATCATATATATCACTTGAGAAAGGATGGCCAATAAAAGTTAGGCGATGTTCATAGATGATTTATATAGGCCAATCTATACTTGTCTTCGGGAATTTCATATATTGATTAAGAGCCGCAGGTAAACGAGCCACAGGTAAAATGATGGTTAAATAGTGGCAAATGGTGGTAAATCATGGCAAATGATGACTTAGGCAAATGAAGGTAAATCTAGGTTAAATGATGGCAAATCTAAGGCAAATGTGTGTCAGGTAAATCTAGGTTAAATGGAAAGTCAACGAGATCAGCAGGTAGTGTGTCAGCCGCTTGAGAATCAGGGTCCATTGTTGGCAGCCACTCCCATGCTGCAAGAAGTGAACCGATGAAATTGATTCAAATTAATTTCTCCTTACTTTTTATTCACTGAAATGTGTGCCAAAAAGCCTGCTGAAAAAAATGTAACTCATAATGTTGTTGTTGGTTCTTGCCATTGCCATGAATATTGGTCTTCCCAAAGTCGTGCCAGACAAAGGCAGCGAGGCCAAACATATAATCAAATAGTGGCAAATGATGGCAAATTGTTTTTCCATTTAACCAGGGCAAATTATGGCAAATCATGGCAAATAAGAGACAAACGGTGGCTAATAAGAGACAAATGGTGACAAATCAAGCTTCCCAATTCCTGCAGATTACTGTGTTCTTGACACGGCTCCTTTAGCCATGGCTCTAAACCCTTATATGAGAATTATAATCTAAGAATTTATAGAGTTTATAGATGTATAATGATGTATATCTTGGTTTTCGATGTACCCTTTGGAGATACAACATACGGGTTTGTCTGAAAGTGGGGTACCCCCAATTCCAATCGATTAAAGCCTCATGTTCCCTCTTCAAATGATCGTTTGTGGCTATACCCCAGTATGAAATAAAGTTAACAACATTAACAACTCTATAACAACTCTATAACATCAAGTTGGTGAATCATATATCCCATTATAAACCCACAGGATGGTGCCCCCCAGTTATAAGTTGGTTTATAAACCCCATTAACATCCATTAACTAGTTCGTTATATCTACAATCCCCCTAGTTAAGCCACTTATAAACCCATATATATATATATAAACCCATTAATCAACCCATATAAACCCATTACTCAACCCATTAATAAACCCATATCCCATTATTTATGATATATAAACCCATTATAAACCCACATTATAACCCATATGTTTGCTTCGTAAATCCATCTCAAACATTCGGACACCCCGGTCGCGCCTCACGGTGACCATGGATTTCACCTCAAGACACTGGGTCCGGTTCTTTTGGGAAAAGAAAACCCCAAGAAATTCCATGGGTTTGTCATGGTTTATCAATGGATTTATCTGGGTTATCTTGGGTTTTTCATGGTTTTTCATGGGTTTTTCATGGATGCTTCATGGTTTTTCATGGTTTATCATGGATTATTCATGGTTTATCATGGATTTATCACAAACTCTAATGGTGTATCTTGGTTTTTCAATCATGATTGTGGGAAAATCTGGTTTATGGGAAATAAAACCATGGGAACAAAGAAAAAAAACATAAACCCATTGGTCTTTCCTATGATGGTTTTTCACATGGTTTAAACATGATGGTAAACATGATGGTGTCAACCATGATCAGATATGCTATATAAACCATATGAAAAACCCATAGTTAACATCATGGAGGATCCCCATTTTGAGACCTATGAGACCTGGTTCCATCCATCGTATCGCCGAGAAAACGGCCACAGGCGCCCAAAACGCCCCTCGTAGCGCCTCGTGTTGAACGTTCGTTTCCCAGCCCTCCATGGCCTGTTCCAACTCTTTCTTTCCTGAGTCTCCCGTGGTGGGCACATGTCATTGAGGAATATACAGAAGTGATGAGAATACACATGATTATGATAAATGATGGTGAAATATTGATGGCTTATGTATATATATACACATATATATATATATACATATATATGATATGGTTTAATATGGTTTATATATAAATGTTTATAAGATATGATGCTGAATCCCATGCCCCCAAAAATTGTGGAATCACTCACTTTCGCCTAGAGGCGGTGTATGACCAATGACCGGAAGAATTTTGGAAGTTTCGAAACATGGATCGTTTCATCATACCCTCTGGTAAACATACAAAAAGCTATTGAAAATGGCCATTTATAGTGGATTTTCCCATGAATAGCATGGTGGATCTTTCCAGTTCGTTATGTTAAATTACCAGAGGGTAATTTTGGGAAATCGTTGACAATCATCTTGGGAAAGCTTCGAAACATTGATCATCAATGATACTTGACAATCATCTTCTAAAACTTGCAAAATTCATTTTTTTAATGGACGTTTCTAACATCGCCGCCCAATCCACCGACCACCGAAGACCTGGGTTTTCCCAACTCTTGATGACCAAGGGTTCGTTGAGTTTCGTCTTGGAACTGATCCAACCTTCCACGCCTGGGACGGGACCTGGATCTATAACAAACAATTGATAATGTATATCGTATAGTGGGTTTATTTATATATATATGGCATAAAGTATATAGTATAGTAATAGTACATAGTAATAGTAATAGTATATAGTATAGTAATAGTATATAGTATAGTATGTATATAATGTATATAGTATAGTATGGTAGCATAAAGAACTAACCAACTTGATCTCATAGTTGGATGCTTCTGAAAATGGTGGATTAACTACGGACTGGAAAAAACACCATGTTTATGTTGAGAAAAATGTTCATAAAGCAGTCAATGGAATTGGGCTACAGTTCCCTATTTTCAGAGAAACCCAAATCAGTTATCAATTTCCTGGCGAAATCACAGAGATTAATGATTAAAGTGAACCATGAACAAAAGCACCCGGATCCCACCTCATTGTACTAGTTGCTTGATAGGTTTCCTTGCAAATGATGGGTTATGATAATGTCATATAATTTCCATCAAACCAGGTAGGTTTGAATACCCTTGAATAACCCATCAACCAGTGTATTTCTAATGGCTCTTCTGTGGATACCGATCCGTACTTCCGAATCATCCCGAAACCGATTCGGTAAACGTTAAAATCACTATTATATAGCCATAGTATATGATGATAATAGATATCTATTAATGGTTATCACTATGGTATAAGTGGAAAATCACTATGATGACTATATTCAGAAGATATCTATATTACCCTCTGGTTTCTACGTTTACATAATGAACTGGAAAACCACCATTTTTTCTGGGTAAATCAACTATCAATGGACCATTTTCTATAGCTACCAGAGGGTAAGTCATGGGGTTAGCCCCAGTTATCACCCAGTCGTCATGGATGACCATGACTTAGTATTGAAACCCACGGTGACGACTGGGGATCAACCCATGGCCAATCTCGGATACCCAATATATAGAGAGTATAATCCCTGCGACTCAGTGAAACATATATCTATTTAATACGTAGGCCATTATTATAGTAACTATATGAAAAATATCTACTATCCATTGTATTCATATGGATACCAAAAATGTCGTTTTTTGTCCACGATAATCATGATAGTCCATTAATGGATATATATATATATATATTGAATATATATACTATCCATTAATGGATATATATTATATATCCATATTACAGTCTCCATGTCGTATTCATGTACCCATCTGTACCTGGCCCAAATGTTGGCGGCACCTTGGGCGTTCCTCACCTTGATTCTGCGCCCTTGTCCCACCTGAACGCTAAACGAACTGGCGGATGGAACAGCAAAACAATCCATGTCTTGACCTTCCAAATTTAAATACATGGTTTTATAATGTTTTATATGGATTTATATGATTTTATATGTAATTATATGGTTTTACGAATATGTTTTTTTATAATTTTACATGGAATTATATGGTTTTACTAATGTTTTATCGGAACTTATATGCGGATTTACATGGAAGTCTAAGAAATTATCGGCATCCGGAAGAAACAACCATTGATTTCGGATGTTGAGCACATCTGGCCCATGATCAGTCTATACCAGCAAGATCTACTGTCCATTTAGCTTGATTTTGCTCAGGAAAATTGCCTTTTATAGTGGAATTACACCTTAGTTAATTTCCAAATGGTGATTTTCCAGAGTTATGTTGGTTTACCAGAGGGTAAGTGTTGAAAACACCATGCTGATGGATCTCCTTCCAGTTTCTTGAGACGTTGGTCCACATAGTTGCACGTGTATACTCCCACTTTTGCTGCTTCGAACCTCATTGCTGCTGCACATTTCGCAGTGTTGCAACATGTTCAGACCCTTAAGACCCAATGATGTCAACACCCACATGTTCGTATTGAAAACTAGAAATGTCAACCCTAAGAAATCAGAGATAAGTCATCTATAGTAACTTCCCAATCTCATCTATAGTAACTTCCGAAGGCCAAATTTTCTCCCCTCCACGTGGGAAGTTCCGTCACCTCGATGACGTCCAAGGTCTGGCCGGGAGCCACTTCGCACACCAGGTTGCTATCCAGGCTCTCCTGAGACCATGGTCTCGGTCTCACCCACAGGGGATATACCATCTGGTTATGACATTCACAGTTTGCCATGGAAAGATCCACCATTTTATAGCTAGGTAAACCATCTATTTCGATTAGGGCCATGTTATGCCATTTTCCATGGCTATGTGACAAATAACCAGAGGGTAGTAGTGATTTAAGTGGCAATGGATAGAGCTTGGTAAATTGTCCTAGCTAAACATCACCCAACTCTTGGGGATACAATCTCCAACAAATACGACTGAAGGTGATGTTCAACATCCCCAAAAAGGTTCAAAAAGGTACACTCAATTACAGTACCAACCCCTGACAGATGGAAAAGAATAGTGTGAAGTTATGGTATATGAATGGAATGTTGTCATGACCGACAAAAATCCAAAAAAATGACAGTTGCTGGCCATTCAACATGAATTTATCAATCAGAGTCTGGCTTTACCAAAGGGTGTGGCTCCTGTTTCTGTTGAACAAATGGATTCAAGTATCAAACATTTGGATTTAAGCATCCAAAGTATGGATTTCACCAGCAAAACATGGGGCTTGATTTCTGGATTTCACCAGGATTTTTCCATCAGCCGAAACAAAAAAAAAATCGACCAGCAACACCGGGAAATTCAGCAGTCCCTCCAGGGGCCTCTTTTCGGATGGTCACTAAGGATGAGGTTTCGCACACATCGCCAGGGCCCAACTGTCGTGGCGTGGCACCGCGGTTTTGGGGGCGGTTTTGGGTCGGATTGGAGAGCCATGGGGCCATGGCCCCCGGAAGTTGTCTGGAGAAAACCCGGAATCGCCAAGGCCTTGGATTTATCCATCACAGAGGAACCTGGAAAAAACCAGTGGACACAGTTGATTGCTTCAAACCGAAACATCCTACGACATCACGACCGCCTTTCCGATGGGAAATAAAGGTCATGGGCCTTACAACATCCATTGAAAATCTATCACGGGTTTTCTTCATCTATCCGAATCTATCCATTCCACCCCTCAATTTGTTTGGGTGTTGCTGAGATTCCCCAATTTACAGTGGCTGAATTCAGTGGAATCATCGTTTCTTAATTCAAACTCATTTTAATCTCCATTTCATGTGATCAAATCCACTTGAAATCTCCATCTCTCCTCAAAGAAAATCCGAAATATGCCCAAAGTTCTTCAGCATTTCCAAAATCTCACCTTTTTTCCCAATTTCCCAGGGTTTTTTTCCGTAGTTCTTCCGCAATTCCCAGGGCTTTCCCAGGTTTTTCCATCCGTTGCTTCGGCCCAGGTGGCCCGCTGGGCCACCGACATCCACCATGGCGGCCACTGAGGCGGTGGTCTTCCGCATGCTGGGAGCGAAGGAGCTGAGACCTGCGCCGCGAGGCGCGAGGCTTGTGACTCGATATGTTCACAAGGTGGTGCCCCAGTTCGTTAGCTAAGTTGGTTTATAACTCCCATAACTATGGTTTATGGCAGATATAACTATAGTTCATGGGGTTTATAAACCAACTTATAACTGGGGGGCACCATCCTGCATGTCATATAAGACATCAATACAGTGATATATAGTGGTATATAGTAATATAGTGATATAGTGATTCATAATATATGTGATTTATAGTGATATAATATAATATACCCTCCAGTAAATTAACATAGACCCTGCCAGATAGGGGTTGGAAGATTAGTTTCCATTAGAAATTGGTCATTTTCAGGGTCTATGTTACTTTACCAGAGGGTAATACACTGATATGTATATATTAATACAGTGATACAGTATTGATATATATATATATAATTATATATATAATGTAGTATCATGTCATACATCAATACAGTGATACATAGTGATATATATAGTCTTTAACATTGAATGATTCGATATAACACTGAATATAGTGATCTGGGAAGATTCTATATACATATATATATATTGATATTACATACATATATATTATATATATACATAGAGAGAGAGAGAGTCTTATAGTGATATATTCATATAGTATTTTACAGTATAATGGGATGATATTGATTATAATGAGATGATATCAACAATATTTTCACTGATATAATCTGGGTAGATTGTTTGTTTATATAGTGATAGCATATGAATTTACATTATATTATATTATTATATAAATGTGGTGAATCTATATATACATGTATCATGGGATGATATTGATTATAATGGGATGATATCAACAATATTTAGTAATACTTAATTATATTTGTAAAATCTATTCTCATATAAATACAGGTTAATGATGGAAAATCATATCAATGGGTAATAGACATACATCAACACACATCATGTGTTGTAAAATACAGTAGCAATAATGATAGCAGTATCATGGGATACAATGATGGGCTATAATGAGATAATAACAATGATAATAGGATTACAATGATTACAACGGTAATATATAACAATGGATTATTAATGTATATATATATATATATTAATCCATAATATGTTGTTATAAACAATATACCATTGTAGCATACATTTAAATACATATCTATATATATTACATATTTCACTATCCCATTGTTATATATATATATGGGTAAATTGTAATATTTCACTAACCTGAAGTAGGGCCATTTGGGGATGATTTCCCGAATCCTAACCATGATTTCCAGTGAGGGAGAACAGTGAGGTCGTTATAATTTACCCAGATATATATATATATATATACCCTCTGGTTATTTAACATAGCCATGGAAAATTGCCCATTTATAGATGTTTTTGAATGATTTACCTATTAAAAATGGTGATTCTCCATAGCTACGTTAAATAACCAGAGGGTATATATATTAATGATAATGGTCTATGATGGAAACCATGGGACCATGGGACGATTTTCCTGGTTGATTTTGGATGGGGGACTATAAAAAATATGGGACCATGGCATCTGATCATGGCATCTATCAGTGATGTTCTGGTTGGTTATACCAATAATAGTGCTTATAATGCCAGTAATAGTGCTTATATATGGTGATTAATGATGGGATATATGATCATACTGGTTGGTGGTTGAAAAACCTTCCCCTCTGAAAAATCATGGAGTGAAAGTCACTTGGGATGATGGAATTTCCAACTGAATGGACAGTCATAATCCATTCATGTTCCAAACCACCAACCAGTGTTATAATAATGGATTAGAATGGATAACGACTGATTCCCAACTCTGGGATAATAGTGATATATATATATATATAATTGTAATGGATGACAATGACTCTAATGATGGGATAATAGTCATGTATATATAATGGGATATCATGGTGGGATAGAAAAGGATAATGATAATGATGAATATAGTAGTACCAGTAATAGCAATATACTATATACAATAAAGGATAAGAAAGGGAAATAATGGTTTTTGATAATGGGATTATAATGGATAATCATTATGTATATACATATATATATATTATTATATTATTAAACATTATAATGGTTAATAGTAATAATTGTGAGTTTATGGCCATGTTTTCGACCTAAACTAGTTTCTTTTGAGGTGCACTTTGTACCCCGTAGTTTTAGTTGGTCACAAAGAAGCCAGAAACGTCAGTTGATGGCAATCAGATCTGACCATCGCCATATTTTATTTGATGTAGTTTCGGCAGAACTGAAAATCACAAATAAATCAACAACCAATTGGACCAAAATGATAACTGATTTCAATAACTCTTGGAAAATTATAATAATTCACTAACCTGAAATAAGGCCATTTTGGAATGATTCCCCGAATCCTAACCCATGATTCCAGTGAGGGAGAACAGTGAGGTTGTTATAATTTGCCCAGATAACTTATTTCACGTGTGATCTCACACGTTCAACTGACGTCTCTAGGTAAGTCACTGACTTCATGTGAAAATCACCAGCGCTGGTCCAGCAGTTCTGTGGTTTTTCTTCTATTTAAAAATGACCCAACCCCGACCCCAAATTGACTGATTTCAGAAACATCAAATGGCGACTCCTGGCGACTCCAGATGGACTGATTTCATCCCATCACTTGAATCAGCCAATCAGGTACCAATGAGCCATTCTGGAAACCGCTGTGAAATGGGGATGATTCAGCAACTTCTGCATTGGTAAATCGACCAGAAATATCCAAAAAAAAGGGAATCGATACGGATTGTGTAATGTTGTCGCATTTTGTGAACCTTACACATTGGAAGATTGGTTGACCATATTAGTCGATGTTGTTTTTCTCGCTTGCAGACGAATGCAAACGGGATAAGCCCAGGTAAGGAACTTCTCAACCCTCACCACTTGCCACCAAGTTGAATGGACAACACCACCTCCCCAAGTTCGTTCGGGTACTCGGGTACTGGCCTCTTTTCACAGATGCAGAAACAGATGAGGCCTGACAAGACCCCAATCAGAATCACTGCAGCGTTCAACTCTTCGTCCACTGCGTCTCGTGGTTGTCTTCTACAGCGACCGCATCAGGTGAGTACCATGCCATTTTGGATGTAAACCGGATGAAAATTGCTGGGGTCAAAGCCCTTTGAATAGGATTCAGAAAGCTCACACTACAACAGTCCTCACAGGACCCCCTCCATAAAGTTGCCCAAACCTGGCCCCAAACAATGCCATCTTCGCCCATAAATTGGTCGCCCATCATTGTTGAGGGTGAAATCTCAATTGTCTCCCCTTCTCAAATCCCTATGCTTCATCGCGCAAAAAAAACATGTGTTGCTAGTGAAAACCCCCAAAAAAAAAACACGCGTGCTTAAATCCCCGTGTTTGATGATGTTGGATCAGTTCAATCATCGCTTCAATCTCCATGTCTTGCTAAAGATCACTTCTGTACGGTTTCCCGCATGGAGCCCACCTTGGACATAAAACTCCGCACGGAATACTTCGAGGCTTTGGAGGTCTTGGAGGTGGTCGAAGCCACTGACTTGGTATCTGCCGTTGGGATGATTTTCGCTGGGAAATGATCATGTTCGATAGTTTTACCCTCTGGTGAACTAACATAGCAATGGAAAATGGCTATAGAAATAGTGGATTTTCCCATTAAGAATAGTGATTTTCCATTGCTATGTTAGTTCACCAGAGGGTAATTGTTTGGACCTGTTCTTCCAATTTGAACAAATCGGATCAGTGGGGGAAACAAGAATCTAATTTTTTTGGGGTCCATGTGGAGTGGATGTGGACCTTGTGAGAGTTTCGGTTCTAGGTTTTCAATTGTAATCAGGGACCTCTTCGCTGATACAATGATACCATTGGGGAAAATATCTCTTTGAACCCTAAACAAAGTGGTCACCAGCCAAAACGATGAGGTCACCAAGTCTAACATTTCCACACCGGCCTGGCCCCATCACGATACTAGGAAACCAACAAATTTTTGGAGCACCGGCTCTACAGGTTTATAGGTTTGCCTGAAAATAGGGTATCCCTTAATACCCTCCTAATTTTTATGGTTTAAAACAACATTTTCTTAATTCTGATGGTTTGAAACTATCATTTTCCAGAAATTCAGGGGTGATTTCCACCACTTTCAAACCATCGCTGGCGCACCGCAATCATCCACGCCGGACATGGCCGCGGCCGCTGGGATCACTGGGTTCCCAGCGCAGCGCCTCAGATAGGCTGGCTTGGTTAAGATCGTGGCTAATCTTAGATACCCTACACAAAAGCTGGAGCTTCCCCCAGTTCTGGAAGAAATTCAGTAGCTCTTCTCCAAAGTGCCAGCTGTTGGTCCAATCCATTTTTCTCGTCAAAAATAAAGTTTTGAGAGCCAACCAACCAACATCAACCAACGTCTGGTGAAGATGCCCTTGTTTTTTGGCAAGATCCCCATGACCCGCAGCAGATTCGCTCTGGGTTCCCCAATCCCCGGTGGAGAAATGCAAGGCCCAGACTCCCAGACCCCCGCGCCGAGACTGCGCTAAGGCCGGGCCAGGGCCACGACGTTGGTTTGGTGTTGGGGCATTGGAAACATGTTGGCGGAGGGGACGATTTCTCTTAGTTGGGATCATGGCATGGAAAACATGACTAAAAGGAGATGCAAAAAGGTATTTTATACGAAAAGATGTTGTTCACTGTTCACTTTCGCGAACCCAGTAATGGTTGGATAATAGTTGGGATAATTATCTGCATCTACTTCTGGGACAGATTGTTGGTTTCTCAATTGGTCATACTGGCAAATAAATAGTATGGAGGTGGAACCAATCCAGCTGAGGACAGCACCAATCAATGCCATTTCATGCACCGATTTATTGGAGGTCCTACCATAGGGCCTATGGGAGGCCTATGTAAGGGGATATGCCTCCAAAATATGGCTTTATATGCTACAGTAAATCTACAGTACCTCTATTCTAGGATCCTCAAAGTCCCATTGAACCAACATCAGCAGCAGCAGCAGCCCAGGCAAACACAGGGAAGCAAAGGGCCCAACAAAAGCCCGAAACCTCAACCAACCCCAAACAGGAGTCCATTAACAAATCCAACATAGACCTGGGTTTCTTGCGGTCTATTTCTTAGTAATCATATGTAACCATGTGGTTGTCACCTGGTATCAACGGGATTTCCCTGGAGGACCTACTGATGTCCCAGGAACCGGGAATTGTTTGCGCTTGGGCTTACCTCATTCCTAAGTTGTACACCAAGCAGTGAATTTGGGGAGACATTCCATATTCCCACAACCAGCTACTATGACGCATCTTCCATTTTTTGGAATGGATCCATGTCCATTCATCAGGCTGTCCGCAACACGAGAAATTTCCCGCGAGGACTTCCGTCACCGGCTGCCGTCTTATCACTGCAGCACCGGTGGGGAGGTGAGACCAGTTGATGTGCAGATCCTGACATGGCCAATCTTAGATACCCAGGAATGTATGGTTTTCCATGAAAAATCCAACAGACCCCTAGAGCATACCCCTTCCCATCGTTTATGAGGCTTTATGAAGGGATTCCTTTCATTTTGCATGTCTGAGATTGTTTGAAGGACTTCTCCCATATGAAACTACCTTCACCGAGGTTTACCGTATTTTCCCAGATTGTATCACTAGCAAAAGAGTCGAGATGGGGATGCCAAACATGCGCAAAGAAGCCGCGACCTAGGAGTTCACCATCAAAGATAGGTTTGTGGTCTCCTTAATGCCTCAAAACAATCTGAATTCATGGAAATTCTGAGTTTGACCCTCAAAAAAAAACAAAACCTGGCCAAGGACTTCTACCCGGCAATCTAACATAGGCTAATAGCAACCGGCCATGTTTCATAGGCCCGGGCTTGGCCCTCACTGCTGACCCATGAGCCGCTCAATCTGCTCGGGACCCATGGTGCGTAACATCTTCCTGGCGTCGTGGAAACTACCCAGAATTCATCAGAATTGCTGGGGAAAAAGGGGAAAAATCTTGGAAAATATGGAAAACTACGTTTTTTCGGGGGAAGCCGTGATTGATACCCTCTGGTAATCAAACATGGCAATGAAAATCCACCATTTAGTTCGATGATGTTCCATTTATAGGGGTTCTCCATTGCCGCGTTTGATTGCAGGACCTGATGAACCTGTAATTCCAATTTCGACACTTCATCCCCCCAAATTACTGCTGATAAGAATTTCTACTGCTGATAAGAATTGGTGGTGACAAAGAAACGCATGCTTCCAGTAGATCTCAAATCGGTCTGACATGGGGTTGTGGTCAAGGTTGCAGGATGCCATAGGTACATACATAATCATACATATAGCTGTGATTGGCGGTATCCTGCACCAAATCAACAACATATGGTGATCTTTCCAATGGATTCCATCATTGAATGGGTGGGTTTTTGAGAGAAAATAACTCCCTTCAGCCATGGGCAACGAATGTCGCTATATATAGGGCATCCAAAAAATTCCAGCCATGAAATTCCTCCGTGAAATTGCTCCGGTCCTGGCATTCTTGTGCCATTTTCGCACCTTCTCAGTCTTTTTGATGACCTCCATAGAGGCACTGGGCCCATCTATCTCATCTGGGTTCTCAGGGTATGGAGTTTCCACCCGAAACACGAGGTGAGGCATGGTGAGGCCCCCCCGGTTATGTTTGTTGGTTTATAAACCCAATTAACTATAGGATATACTGTGGATGGAAGAAATTCTGCACCAGTTGATAGGTGATCTATCCCACTATTTATAGGGTTTTAACATGTTTTGTTTAACCATCCCAGATGGTGCAGGATCTCTTCTACCGATACTTCACTAGGACGAAAGTTTTTTCCCGCCCGCTGTTTCAGAACAAAGCAATGTACATATCTTTGCCTATCAACGTTATGATTCTGAGGGCCATTTCGCGTGCATGGCCTGTGTGGTGGATCGAATTTACTAGTCAACCCTAGTAGACACTTATTTATAAGTAGAAACTTCTTTGGTAGACATCTATGGGGAAAGGGTGTTGGAAAGCCCAAGAGGAGAAGCTTTTGTCCTGGAGGTGTGTATCTACCATCATAATTCTTAATTAACCAAGTTATGTGCGTCAACTTTCAACTTAGCTACCGTTTGGGGGTCTCACCTTGTGTGTTTCTTCTGAAGCTCATGTTCCGTTTGACAATGGCCAAGACATGTTGGTTGCCAGATTCTGTTGGTAGCGGAATCCACTTGTCCATGGATAAAATGGTTTGATCAGGAAACTGGGATGAGCTGGCCATCGAAACAGAATCATCAAGCTCGGCATATCTCAAAATGACTGATGACACTTACAGCTGCACGTGTCAAACATTCCACGCCTAATGAATCAAATCCAGGATCATGGAAGCCTCACTTCAACCACTTGTTTGGTCAGCGAGGATTCGCACCTTCGATGATCAACCAGACCCACCTGTAGTTTGCTTGTAGCAGCATCCACTGCCATGCCATGGTGCGAGGTCAGAAAACATAAGGCCCTCACCATGGATAGGTGAATCTGCCCAAGTAGTCTATTCTGTCCATTCAGGGAGGGTCCTAACATGGAGGACCCCAAAACGATTGGCTTCCCCTTGAAAAACATGACTAATTGTCAATTGTGGATGATTGTGGGGTCCCCCATGACTTGGAAAACCCCTCACTAAGCTAATCCCCCTATTCTAAAATATTAGATACCCCCCAGAACCCTGGGTTTTGCTGTTGGATCTATGAATTTGTTGGTGCCTGTACAAGAGGTATTCCGTGCTTTGTCTACCATGAAAGTTCCGTGGAGTTTGCCCGGCTCAGCCTGGTATTGACCGGCTCTGATGGCATTCTCCTCCTTCCTTCGCTTTTTCTCTTCCCTGTCGTCTCACAACTCAGGGCGCATGGGTGGAAAACTGCAGCTTCCTGACCTGGAATGACCATCCGTGGATTATCATGGATGGCCTCCTTTCTCCCCAAAATATTCAACACCCCCAAACGAAACCATGGTAAAAAGTAGGGGGATTTCCACATCATTGGGACCCAGCTATGGGGGGTGTTCGGTATGAAGGGGGGATGGGATTATCATATGTTTCTCCATTCCAAAACATGAAGAAAAGGCATCGCAAGGCCATAAAACCACCTCTCCCCACCTGACTGGTTGCATGGTTGTCATCGAAGTTCTCTTATCTTCATATCGGGGTCAGAACACGTCAAAAGCCATTAAAACACCTGGTGAACACAATAAAGTAGCTGTGAATTGTGGATGTTCATCGCCGTAAAAGTTGTAGTGATGGGGATTGATCCATGGCCATCTTTATTCTGACATGGGCTTTGACTGGGAAAAAGCATGAACGACAGCAGCTTCCAGTGGATTTGTTGGCTGTTCACTGTTATCAAAACTGGATCCACAGATTTGCTGATGGCCCAATAAACACGAAACATATGCCCTATAGATCTAAAAAAAGGTGGGATTTACCATTGGGAAAATGAAAAAAAACACTGACTCAGCAAATCTCTGCAAATCTAGGATCAAGTCTTTGCTAGACGCACTCTTTATCGATGCTATCCTCATCTTGGCTATCTCCCGGTGTTCTGTTCCATCCCCGTTTGGTTTGTTCCTCTCCCTTCACTAAGACAGTGGGTAGAAAGATGTAGAAAGTGGGTATCCCCAGCATGTTTCGCAATGGCAAGTTCTTTCCAAGCAGCTTTTTCTTGGTTTTCTGTTTCTTGACCTCTTTCTTGGCCTGGCTCATCCCGGCCCCCGGGCGAACACCGAACTTCGACCTTGAATTCAACTGACTTTCAGGAGGATTGAAGTCAAAATTGAGGGGACAACACGCCAACAACACGCCAACAACACGCCAACAACGCTGGCGATATTTGAGGCTGAATCATCTACACATCGAAGATCGAAGGATGTGGTGCTCGGCTTGCAAAACCCCCAAAATCAAGTGATCCCAGGTCACGCAGCGGCAATGGATCGTGAAGACCTTCTTGTTTCCATTTATATAACTGGTTGGTGGTTGACCTACCCCTCTGAAAAATATCAGTCAATGGGAAGGATTATCCCATATATTAATTAATTATGGAAAATAAAAATGTTTTTCCTCCCGGCACACCGCTGCTAGCCTGGGTCGCGCAGAACTAGCGGGCACTGGTGGCCTATATGTGGATCGAATCCAGGGACTTGCCAGCTCCCGAAGCTGGAGCAGCCAGTTGTGATGCCAAAAAATTCTCAAAAAAATCGTACTCCGTAGGAGTCAAATCAAAGGCGATGGAACCCCTGAAACAGCAAACCCACTGAGAACATGGCTTCACAGTAGCCGTGACAAAACTGGCTGCACAGTCCCTGAAACACTGCTGGAGCATCAAACGAAAGTGCTTTACCCTGGTGGCAAGCTTCACATGGTTGGCCAAATGGGCAACCTCACCAGTTTCCACTTTCCAAACACCGTCTTCCTTGGTGATGAACACAGGGCCTTCCCTTTTTTGGAAACTGATGAAATCCAACGGAGCTCGGAGCCTACGGCACGGATGCTTGAAATCCACCGGGCGACCTTGACAAAGAGGGACTGACCAAAACTGCGACTGAACGTGGGACCGACCAGAACCAACGGATCAGGCAAATCCAAAGTCATATGAGGCAGGGCACGGCCAACACGAAGCGGGCGAGCTGGGTGAGGCGCCGCTTGCTTGTCAGTGTGGCCTTCGTCTTGCCATATTTTTGCAACTGCCACGATGTGGGAACGCACCAAGTCCGCTTGAGATCGATGAGTCACCAACTGGTCAGACAGATGTTCCCACAACGTCCAGACATGTGGGGGTCTGGCAACGTTAGCTGCTTTGGCTGCTTTATCGGCAATGTCATTTCCCGTGAAAAGCCAACGCTCAATATCGGAACGGCAGTCGGCAATCGAGGCATGAGCAGGAACCTTCAGGACCTCGACACAGCTTTGGGGAACTTCACGCATGACCTGCTGAAGGGACCTGAGCAAGTCGCAATGCTTTGCATTTGCACGCACAGGAAGGCCATCTCGGACATGGGCTGTGAAAGCATCAATCACGCTCTGGCAGTCCGTCCAGACGCGAATAGAGCGACGAAGGGCAGCACCAAATTGCAAAGCGGTCACCAAAGCGAAAAGTTCAGCACGATATGCCGATTGCAAAAGGCCCGGCAGCGGTTGTGCAGCAACTGCCACAAAGTCGGAGGAGCCAAAGTCCAAGTCAAACGGCGGAGCCAAGATCACAGACCAAGCAGCCAGACGCAGGTCACTGACAGTCGGGAAAAGACACGACCCATCCGTGAAGACATCAAGCACGCTACAGGCAGGCACACTGGAGGGAAGCTGGACAGAGGTTGAAAGGCCGTCCAAGTACTGGAGCCACGCTTCGGTAAGGCTAGGCCGAAGCGTCCAACCATGTTCACGGACAACTGGCAGCATAGAGTCGACCCCACACAGGAAATCCTCAGGCATCGAGTCACGCAGACCCTTGGTGGCAGGACATTCCCAGAGGCGATGGTAGTTGGAGTCCATGGCATGGCACTTGGAACAAAGCTTGCTTTGGCTTTGAGACCAATGTTGGGCATGTTCATTGGTCAGTGTAGCTCCATGAAGGTGCTTCCGCAAAACGCCTTGCTCAAAAGGGCCAAACTTCTTGTAGGCCATACGTGTGTGGGGCACATCAACAAACTGGAAACCTCTGAAGGAGGACCGGTGCTGCACATGCACAGCCATGATGGTAGTCCAAGCAAACTGGAGCCGAAACTGGAGTTCCCCAAACGGACAATGAAGGACTCGAAAAGACCCAATCCGGTCGTGGACCACACCATGGCGCCCGGGTTCAAATCCAACTTGATGGAGTCGCTGGCAAAAGATCTCAGAGAGAGAGTTGAACTGAGGCTCAGAATCGCCAAAAGGGCCCATGTTCCAGTCTTGGACAACACAAAAGTCAATACCCAAAGCACGCGCATCTCGGAAAGTCTCAAGTGCCGCAAAAACCAACGGGTCAAAGTCCAGGGATTCAAGGCCACACTGTAACACCGGGTTAGCTCCTGGCTTCTGGAGGTGCAGGGACTGCATCAGTTGGGTGCGCAGTCCTTCGAAATGCTTTTTTCCCACAACAACTGCAGACACAGCATGAAAAGCCCTGGGCCAAGCAACACGGGTGACAAGGGTGACCTTTTGGCGGAAGGAGCACCAAGTAGCGGCAAGCTTGATCCAAAAGTCGGAAAGGTCTTTCAAGCGATCGACCGCTGTCTTGTTGGCAAGTTGGCGTGTGTACACCACGTGTGCCCCAAGCTCCCGCGTGCCAAGTTTGACACTGAAGCCCTGGTTACGCAGTTGGTGGCGGCCCTCAGCATGGGTGCACCAGGTAAAACTTTTGGCAGCATCAAGTTGAATCTGGAGCAAGGGAGCGAAACGGTCAACTGCATCAGTGGCCTGTCTCATGTGGTCAACATTATGGAGGATGACGGCCCAGTTGTCAACGTAAGACACCGGTCGAAACAGAGTGTTGCAGCAAGCCAACCAACGATGGAACAATTGGGTGAGGATCATCATAGAGACGCAGGACATGGCGCATCCTTCTGGGAACCCATTGCAGGATTCAACCCCGGGAGAATACGAGCCTCTGATGACGAAGTGGCGCTTGAAACCACTCAAAGCGCCAGCCCAAGCGACCAAAGTTGATTGGTCAATGCCCAGCAGTTTAGCGGCAGCGAATGCCGGGCGGCGGGGCAGGACATTGAAGGCTTTGACAATGTCAGCTGAAAAGCCGCAAACAGGGACATTGTCTCGGTGGGCGGCTTCGACCTGTTCAAGCACATATCTCCAAACCATGCCAGCACGGCAGCCCACAACATTGACACACAGAAAAGGATCAACCACAGAGGACAGCTGGGAAATCCAATGTCGGGCACAGATGGAACTCCAGGCACGGTACCAGGTCGAAAAGACAGTGATTGGCCGATAATGCCCCACTCCCTGAGGGTCAATGGTCTTGGCAAGCGACCTGACGTACCCGTTGAGGGTTTGCTGGGGCCAGACGCCAAAACAACCCGCAAGGTCAAAAGTGCGCATGAGAAGCACAAGATCAGGGTCGGACAACGCAAGCAAGTCAGCCCTAGCGACACCGTCGAGCCCAGTAGCAGAACGAGCAGACTTGCGCAACAGACACCGACGAACCGAGTTGGTGGTGAACACCGGACGAGAGAAAGGCAGTGGCCGAAGTTGAGAAGCCGCAAATCCAATGATGTTGTCCCACTGGGAGTCTGGGACGTCCGCATGCTTGTTCCAAAGCCGAGACCAAAACGACTCAAACGCCTCAAAGAGATCAGGAAGCATGGAAGTGTAAGTGGTTTGCGAGACAGTGTCTCCAGGATTGACACCAGCACACGAATCAACCCAAACTTTGTCTTGTTCAGCATGGATGATAGAGATTGGGCCGGTTGAATGGACAAGCGGACACTCCAAATTCCAGGGGGGGCTCTCAGCAGTGACAAGGGCACACTCGTCCATGTCAACCTCAAGAACAGTAGTTGAGACAGAGCCAACCAGGGTATCGACCTGGACAGGGACATCACGCTGGACAGAGCGGTACATGGCTTGGACATCAGACGCTTTGGCAAGCCGATTTGCATGGGATCGGGCTGAGTTCAAGGCAGCTTCAAGTTGTTCAAAGTCCAACAGAAATCCAGCATAGAGGAGAGCGGCAATCGAAGCATCCGGCGGTTCAGATGGGATGGTCGGCGGGTCCCCAAGGCCAAGGGCACGCTGCGACCACCACTGCTCAAAGCTGGGGTAGAAACCAGGAGCTCGGCGGATGGAAGTCCAAAGTCCAAAAAGGTGGGCCCTGTGGGAGGCAGTCAAGACAGGGGCCCGAGCCAAACGCACGTAGGATTGCAGACGCCTGAGTTGCTTGAGCCATTGGGCGTGTTGGACACAGGAACCCAGGAAGGCAGGTTGTTTGTCACCTGGCCGGCTAGTCTTGGTAGGGGCAAGCATTCCATGTCGAACCTGCGGTTTGCGTTGAGTGCCTCGTCCTTGCATGGATCGAATGACAGGCTTTTGCTTGGTTCGCCGGACATCATTGTTGTTGCGCTCAACGGAAGTCCAAAAGGCGGCATAATCATGCTCCAGGTCACATCCAGGAACAAACAAGTCAGCACCAACAGGGGCACGATCAGAAGCTGCTTCCCATTGCATGGGGTCAGGGATAGGCCAGACAAAGCGGTCAAGAAGATCAAGGGAACCCTCAAAGGTGCCAATCAGGTACGAATGCTCAGAAACAGAATCGTCGTCAACCTGACAAGACAAGAACAAATTGGCCATCTCACGAGAGAGAAACATGTAATCTCTTCGAGTCTTGCTGCGGCAAGTAGCAACAGGGAGTTGGCCAGTCCGCTCAGCATGGAGGTCTTGAATATCCCTGAAACCAAGGCGTTCGAGGGTGGTCACAGTAGCAAGGCTGTCGAGGTCATGGTTGAAATCTCCCGCGATGTAGCGGGGACCAGACATCTGAAGAACCCGGTCAAGAGCTAAGCTGAGAAGCTCGTCTGTGACTTTCTTGCCATTCACATGGGTAGGCCCAGTGGGTGTACCATAGAGCGTGACCCCGGAAATCCAGACCCCCTCGGCACAGAACCCAGAACACAACAACCTCCCAGAGTTGTACGCAACAGCGGGCCAAGAGTGAGGAAGCCGACGTGACGGGAAGGTAGAGAGAACACCAACCCCAGACCATT